TAGCTAAATTCTAGTGTGATTGGTTAGGCACACATTGTGCCCCCCAACACACTCAGAACTAATATCGTTAGACTTAGGATTTTAAGGATTATGACTCTCCGACCTTATGTAAAGCAGTGCGATCAAGGCCTGAGGAACAATGAGATCTACAACACAACAAAGGAACACTCTTCTATAATCCACAACTTGTTATAAAATCTGTTTGGGACTGTAGGAAATTGATTATCCCGTAGAGAGCTCCTAATTCCCCATCGTGGGTATTTGCAGACCTGGTCCACCCGCAGATTCGTTGTGAACAGCAACCACGCAGAAATGTGCCCGCCGGCCTTAATGAATGGGTCTTTGTCGGGTATTCGTAGGGAATTTTCTCGCATATGGATTGATACTTCACAGACACACGGGGGGGGGGGGGGGGGCTGTGAAACCGGAACCTTAAATCAAACCACCGTCGGCTCCATCAAAACAAAAAATACTAATAGAAACATGTTTTCTAGTTTAACGCGCGGTATGAGCGTACGTTAAACGCTTGTGTGTTTTTATTAACGGATATAACGTTAACGTTAACGTTAGCAGCGGTAGCTAGCGGCGGTAGTTAGCAGCGGTAGCTAGCAGCGGTAGTTAGCGGCGGTAGCTAGCAGCGGTAGTTAGCAGCGGACGGAACTACCGCAGATCAACAACAAACGGGCAAAGAAACCCGCTCTGGCTGGAGGAAGGGAACGTAAAACGCTGTCATAATACATTAATTATAACTTCACTCCATAGGCGCACAAAGGAGATCAACGCCTTCATTCGAAATGCCCCATTTCTGTTGTGATTGATTAACGTAATGCCCCGTTCAAACGTTCTGTCTGAGCTGGTCGACGGTGGATAGATAGACAATAGACGTTATTTTGTTAAGTTCAACGGTGATTTGCTTTTGTTGGTTAATCATTTATTATAAAAATGGCTAAATAGTGGTCCCATTGTCGACGGTTCCGTGTCATTCCCCCGCTCCCTTCTCTTTCGAGGTAACGTTCTGTAGAAACGACAAATCTAACGTGACGTTAGTTTACGTCAGCGAAGGGAGTATAAGTCCCATGAAGAGTGTTTCAGAGGGTCACTGTACCTGTTACTGCAAGTTAAAGCCACATATCGGTCGTCTCCCGCTGTACCGTACGGCCCTTCTCGTCTTCTGTCCTTTTCCTTTCTCTTGTTCTCTTTTGTTGATGTTCGTACGGCTCACGCCCACCTAGTGACGTCACGCAGCGCAAACCAATCAAACTGCTTCCGTTTAATTATAGAAATCACCTCCTTTTAGATTCAACGGCATGATTAGAGTATACTCCTACGGTTTTATGTCGTATTGACATGGTTTCTTACATTCCCTGTAAAGAAGTTTGCACTTTCATCGATCGACAATCTTTAATTCGCCAAAAAACGCCACTGGAATCGAGATGTACGCCTCTAGAACAAGAGCCGAGCCCCCTTCCGACTGGCGTTCCTCTCAGCCAATTAGCGAGCAGTATTTTTGCGCGTTCAAATAGTCCGCTCAAACGGGACACCGTGATTGGCTCATGCCAGTAACTACTGACGCAATCTTGGCATTATTTTCTTTTCTATTTTTACTGTTATAATGATATGATAATAATTGTTAGACATAACCACAGGGAAAATGGATTATATACATATAAATGAGTGTGTATATTGATATATTCTCCCCGTTGTAGATTATATTGTCATGTACATTAAGTAACTTTTTGGATATTAAAAGGTATCATCGAATACATCTTGACTTGCAGTAGGGTCACTAAACTCGGCATCGAGTACCGACGTTATAGATATTTGTATTAGAACGGGATCATTCCACAGAGGGTGCCGTCGTTTCGTCCCTCCGGTCAGCCCGTAGGTGGGCGGAGACTGGCTGACCCCCCCGCCCCCCCCTCCAGAGCCGAGTCCCCTCCTCGGAAGTAGACGCATCAGTCTATTCCGTTCTTTTATTTTTATATATTTTTCACCCCTTTTCCCTAACAACCTGTTATGGACGCCAGGATGGACGATTAAACCGAAAAACGGGTCCCCGATTTCACCCCATATTTGCCCTCGGTGCGAGCGGACCGGATGAAATCCAACTGTGCTGTTCTCCGCTTCGCAGGGGAGGTAAGGCGTTGGGCTCCGTCTACTTGCTGGTGTGGCGTCAGCCATTTCAAACGTCTCCGTAGTACAGTTAGCGCTCTATTCGCGACAAACCGCCCCCCAAGCCGCTTCTAAAGACCACCAGCCGACAGCCGCGTCTCTGGCGACCACCGTCGACGTGTATTTGTCTGTGCGGACAGCGAGCAGCTCGCGGCGCCGCACGGACGCTGGCCTGCTTTATCAGCTCCGTCCGGGGAATAGTCGCATCCGTGGTGAAACTGGAGTTTACGCTGTGAAAGCAGCTGTTTCTGGAGGACCGTTGGGTTTACTAATAAGAGTGAGCCAGTAATTATTCCAGTAAAGGAGGGAAGCGTTGCGCCACTCTTTAGATGGGGCCCGACTTGAATTACGTCACGTGAGTCAACGCGTCGCCTTTGATGCTCTTCTGACTGCGTGCGGAGCCGCAGGTTGGACCTGGTGACCTTCACGTGTCGATGCCCCACAAACGCAAACATGACTCCCAACATCTCCTCGGCCACCTTCTCCTCCTGTTCCTTTAACCTGCTCCCGTCTGTAGGGCCGTGTTTCATATACAGACAGATACATCAGGTAAAACATCTCGATCATATCCAGCGTTTGCAAAGATTAAGACCCAATACAGCCCGAGATGTTAAGGACATGCTGAAGTATCACCTCAACCTCAGTTAAGAAGAAAGATATATTAGTCACAGTCTATAAATATCCTCATGATGTTGCCCATTCAGTTTCTTTTATCTACTCAGACCTCCAGAATGTCTTGGATGTGCTGCAGTGATGAGGGGCCACGGACAGATACCTGTGCTTGTGTCCCCGTGCAGGTGTCCAGTGGGGAGGTAGGCTCAACCAGGGGACAGGATGAAGTCCTTCGAACCCTGGGGACGCCAGAGGCTGGCTTTTCTTCTGGAAAAGGCCGCCTCTAGGGAAGCCCAGATGTGGAAGGCCTACCTGCCGAAGAAGCCCTCCCCACAGGTGAGGGTCGACCTTTCCACACGCCGCCGTTCATTAACGGCCATCGTCCCCCAAAGACGATCACTTTAAAGGGTTGTTTCGTGCGTGTTTGTGTGTAACGAAGCGACGTCTCAGCCAGATGTTTTCTGGCGGCTCCACTGGATTCAGGGACCAAAGGACATTTTGTAGAACACAGCGAGGACCCGAAGAAGACGCCTCCCAGTTACTCACCTTTTTTAAAGCTCTGGTGCGAAACGCATCTATTCAAATTGTAATGGTCGTTAAATAACAATTCTTGGTCACATCAGAAACGGGAACACGGTTGATTATGAAATAATGAAATGAATACATAGTATGATTTGTTAAGACGGGAGGTTCCTGTGCAGGTCTGTCCCCGTCCCCTGCGTCAGAGACAGCGTTGGGCTTGTGAGTCACTGGACTCGCCTGGAGACGCGTCCTCGTATGATGTCACATGCGTTTGGTTTCCTCACACCCGGTGCACAGGCCCCGCCCCCCCACAGCGGGCGCAGAACTATTTGTTTCTTGTTTTAAATTCCTCTGTCACCTTAGTTTTGTCCTTTGGGTTATTTTAAGATGTCTGTTGGTTTTGAGTCCAATTATTTTTTACCGAAAAAACGAAACTCCTCAGCTTAACTTAACTTATTAATATGAACTGTAGCACAATGAAAATGCAGACCGGAGCGCACAACCTGTGGTTCTTTACCATTAATTACCCAACCCTCCCCAGTTCTCGCTTTTATGGAGTGTTTTTCTCTCAAAAAAAGGGTCAACAAATATATTTTGTCATCATTATGTTAACAAAATCTATTTTAAACCCTGATTACCAACCTTATTGTGGACTAATGTTTTGTTAGCATTGCATTATTGGTGTATGCAGCAGTAGTCAGACGCACACCTTTGTCCTTCGATTAGCTGTCGTTCCTCGCCGCCCGACATCTGAGCGTGACTCTGGCTTTGGTTCGTGCACGTCGCTCTGCACGGTGTAGTTATTCAAGCTCGCTGAAATCAGCAGCTCATCTGTGACTGTTGATCCCCGTCTGCTGAGTCAACGCTGCACCTTCACCTCACTACAACGCAATCCTCCTCCTCTTGTTGATGTTGTGAATGTGGCACACGCCTGTTTTCCTTTTACTAGATTGGAAAGAATTTAGTAAAAGAAAAAGTTCACCGGAAATACACAACTGCCCCCAAAAATGCATCGCAACTCAGCCAGCAACCGAGCGAGAAAACAAGTAATGCAGGAGGCCGCTGTGAAAACCGAAAAATGATTTCCATTCTGGAAAATGTTGCATTTAGTGAAAGCGGTCATGTTAATTTGAGTGACCCGGTGGATCATAAGAGACGGGTCAGGATGACCGAAAACAGATCCTTGTTGGTAGAGACGGATCCCTTTTGTTGTTTGATTATAGCAACTGGTCCAGAGGGCTGCAGGCCGGTTATTGTGTCACCATCCCAACAACACTGACGTCCGTAAACTCCTATTGTTGTAAATGTTACTTATCTCAGATCACTTTAGTCTGCAGTACCAACTGGGGCGGTGCGATCCAGCTTGTTTGTACTCCTGCGCGTGACTAAGAGGGGGCCTGCTGGGTAAAATAGCTGCGCCTGCTGTGGCGTTGGCTTCGTCTTTGGTCACCGAGCAGTTCCGTCAGCTTGAGTTGTAAAGCTCAGCTGGAGAACGACTTTACGCTGTACGTCTCTTCATTGCCGCTCAGGCTTGTTATGAAATTCTATACATGAATGGACTTGGGCAGGGCGGACCACAGGGTAGTTGGGCTGCGTGGCGTCTGCCTCACAGACATGGCCAACCCGAACATGCGGCGTCTCCTGGTTCACATCTGTACCACAGAGGGAGAAGTCCGATCGGGCCGCGTCGTAAACCGTCCGCTCACAACAACCGGCCAGCGGCTCGTTGACCGTATCCCTAGCTAACCCTATTCCTAGCTAACCCTAGCTAACCCAAACCCTAGATAACCCTATTCCTAGCTAACCCTAGCTAACCCAAACCCTAGATAACCCTATTCCTAGCTAACCCTAGCTAACCCAAACCCTAGATAACCCTATTCCTAGATAACCCTAGCTAACCCTAGCCTGATGCCAAACCAATTCTTCTCTTTGAGACCGTACTATTTTACAGCTGCCATATGTAGGGTTAGGCCCCCCTCCGGCCTGGGGAGGGACGGCTGAGAGGCTGATCAGCGTCACGTTGCACGTGAGCCGGCTAACGGGATAAGATTTCTCCTGACCTTTGACCCCTGCTGCCAGTAGAGCCATTGCACTCACTAAACCGGTCATGAGGTACACAATGTTTTAGTGTTGCTCTCAATGTGGAATCTCTCACGTCTTTGTGAGCGAATATTCTGACTAAAGAAGATCAGTTTTTACAAAAGCAAAGTATGTGAAACCTCCATCCGTGGTTCAGCGCGGTCTCATGCTGTGACGTCCCGCTGCAGACGACGCGCTCCACTCTTGAAGCCCCGCCCCTCTTCAGCACTGTCGCTTCTTTATTCAAAGCTTATTGAAATTCGGTTGTTTGTCCAAATTGCAACTTGGACGCTGCACAGTTTGAGGTGCCATCAATACACCGGCGAGGTGAGACGGACATGAGAGGTTCTCGAGATGCGCACACACACACACACACACACACACTCGCCGTTGCTTTAGAGCTGTTGGTGTTGCATTTACCTGAGAATAAATTCCCCTCAGTTGTCTTTGAAGTGCAGGCAGAGGATGGATTCGATCTGAAGTGATGAGTCCATCCACAATAAAACCATCTGCAACTATTTTCATAATTGTTTTTAAGTGGTTTTCCAATCAAAAATATTGAAACAACGGCAAACATTCTGATTCCAGCTGAAAGGAGAGAGAACGCACACATTGAGCTGAGGGTCTTTGGATTTGGGCCAAACTGAACTTTGAATTTGGATGTTTTCAGACTTAACGACGACTGGATTAATCAGAAAAGAGTTGAACTTGTAATGCAAGCTGAGGATGCAATGATTTAGTAAGAACAGAACATTTAGCTTCATTAATCTGTCCTTTGTAAACACGCATGTAATTCTGATTAAACATTTTGCAGCGTGAGCTGGAGGCGAGTTTGACTCATGTTTCTGTTCTAAGTATCCAAAGTCATTTGACAAGACAACCAAGCGCTCTTTGCGCTTGGAATTACTCGTGAGCAAAGCGAAGCTCGTGGCTCACCGCGCCCCCTGACCACGCCCCCTGACCGCGCCCCCTGCTGCGCGTTGCAGGATACAGACGTCTCCCCCGGGCAGCGGGACGAGGCGGTGCGCTGGCTGACGGAGCTCCACTGCAAACTGCAGCTGTACCCGGAGACCCTGGTGATCGCCGTCAGCATCCTGGACCGCTTCCTCGCCACCATCAAGGTAAGCCTGAGCACCAGCGCATCCTACGCGGGTCTCATCACACGGCAGACTGAAAGGATGAAACCAGACAGATGGGTTCTTATTAGATTGTTGAATTATTTTAAGATTCAGTACTAATGTGAGATGCAATTTAATGTTGTAGCTAAATAGTCATTAAGTTCAATGTGTTGTTTTGTTTACTGTACTTCCCCCCACTGACTCCTACCTTGCTGCAGATAGTCATGTGACCTAGTGGGTACGTATGTGTGTCAGTGTGACATGCACCCAGCGCGTGCGCTCTTACAACACATCAGAAACTTGTGTGTTTCCTCAGGAATGTTATGACACACACACCGTTCCTGTGTTGTTGTGCTGTACAAACAGCTGGTGTGTGTGTGTGTGTGTGTGTGTGTGTGAGTGACTCAGTCACGGGGCGCGCCTGGTTCCCTTTAAATGAAAAGGCCTCAGTCGTTGTCTACAGGAGTGTCTGTCTGACGTCAGCTGGACATCTGCGTCACACTGAAACTGAAACACTGTCACTTCATTATTCTACTCAGTCCGATAGTTTAGGTTCACTCTAAAGCCCCGAATACTACGACATTCTCTACACCAGAGACTGTTCCCTATTTAACACATGAGAGGTGCTCTGACTGTGGTGGTGTCATCAGGTGTGTGTGTGAGGCTGTGACTGTGGCGTGTCATCAGGTGTGTGTGAGGCTCTGATGAGCATGTTGTGAACTACTGACCCGTGGGATGGTTTCTTCTTCAGGCCCGTCCCAAGTACCTGCGCTGCATCGCCATCACCTGCTTCTTCCTGGCTGCTAAGACCTGCGAGGAGGATGAGGTGATCACACAATACACACACTAATCAGAGGCCAAAATCACTGAGATCCTTAAACATTCAACAAGTTCAACAAGCTGTGTGTGTGTGTGTGTGTGTGCGTGTGCCTCAGCGTGTGCCCTCTCTGAAAGAGATGGTGGCCTCCAGTGACTGTGGCTGCTCTCCGTCAGAGATCCTGAGGATGGAGAGGATCATCCTGGACAAGCTGAGCTGGGATCTGCACGCCGCCACAGCACTGGACTTCCTGCACATCGTACGTGTGTTGCCCCCTCGCCGTGGGGAACGTGATGGGGGCTCCAAGGGGGCCGTCGTGTTTCTCAAGTGTGCGTGTGAGGTTCTTCTCCGTAGTCGCAGCGTAGTACAGCCGGTGTGTGTGGAGAGCCGTTACTGCCTGAGAGCCGGTGCTGTCTACGTGCTGGATGACGGGTTTATCTCAGTTTATTGTACTTTCTTTCTTCATGTGATCACGTGTCAATACATTCATTGATATGAGGTTTGTTCTTCTAGTCTGTAGTTGCATTTCGTCCCTTATTGTTGTCGTCTGGGCTTAAGGTGATGCTGGAATATACTTAGATTTTCTGCAAAGTATCATCCGTGTTTCATTGAACCTGCTGATGCTTTGGATCATACCAGCATGATCATTCTAGTGGATCAGAATTCATTTGGAGGGTGACTCTGAAATGAGTCTGTTGGTTTTTAATGATTCACAAAGCAGGTTTCCCCACTTGATCAGATCCCCGTTCTTCGCACGTTGTTCAACCAAGTCAATCAAATGTCTGTTAGCATTGAAGTCCGGCTCAGTCCCTCAAAGGTTGATCCGAGTTCAAACAATCTCGTTAATTTGAGCCATGATTGTATATTTCTGTCATATGAATTGAAAACATTGCACATTTTCGCGTTGTTCATCGTGTACAGAAGATCCGTTGCCGTCCGGGAGGATTCCTTGTCGGCAGCATCGATGGCGCTCGTACAGCGACGCGATAACGTCTCTTGGGGATCTGGAAGATCTCTCTCCCTATTAAACGCTGATCTAACTCATTTTGCTTTAGTTGGCCTGCCCTGGAGCAGGCTAGTTTCTGGGATGCGTTGCTATGGTGACCGAACAAAAAGCCTGATCGATGAACTCTTATCCTGAAAATGATCCGGCTCACTCGCGTAGGAGGAATCGGTTTGCATGCAGTATTTGTGTGTTTTTAGCGGCAGTTTGTTTTATGTATTTGTTATGGGCTCATTGAAGGGCTGATCAATACGGTGGTATTACCAGGCTGCTAAACTACACGTTGTAAAACCATCTGAGGCTCCTTTTGTGAGTTTACGTCATATAAGAGAAGAGCTGATTATGGAGGGGGGCGTAATGTCAGGCTGAGCCTCGTGGGGGCGCCATTTGTCCAACGTGTGCATACAGCCATCCGCTCCGTCTGCTCACCCAGCGCTACTGTTTCTACTATGGATGCGGGCGTCTGGTCCCATAATCAGGGTTGAAACGGTCCTTTCCTCCCGTAGTTCCACGCGATGGTGTTGTCGTGCCGTTCCGGGTTCTTGGACTCCGCGTCGGGCCTGAGTGGCGCTCAGCACCTCACCCTGCTCACACGGCGCCTCTACCACTGCCTGGCCGACCACACGCTCACTCAGGTGCCCCCCCCCCTCTACCCAGCACCACACCGGCTCTGTCCCTCTGCTTCAGGGACAGCAGGCTCTGTCTTTGAGCAGAGGACAGGGGCCGTGCGTCCAACACTCACCAGCTTTGTCCCTTGTGGTCCTGTAGCTCAGAGGATCCATGCTGGCCTTGGCCCTGATCACCCTGGAGCTGGAGACCTGCTGCCCCGACTGGCTGGTTCTTACCATGGACCTGCTGAGGAAGGCACAGGTACGCACGTTGGGTCTAGATGCTCAGTCATGTGACCCGAAACAAATAAGCAGCGGGCTGCTCCACCAGAGCTTCTTTGCAATAGTAGGAAGCTCCTGACGAGTTCCATGTAGCTCCTCTAGTCGACTCCAGCATCTGTAGAAGCTCTGTCCCGTTTCCTGCTTCGGATCACTTGTGGAGTTCTTTGCTTTGAGTTCCTCCGACTTATTCTTCTTAAAACACCTTTTCAAAAATATAGGCAAATTATATCACGTATCAATAATGACCTCTGACTGACGGGTATTTGTCTCCCAGATCGACAGCTCTGAGTTGATTCGGAGTCGAGAGCTGGTGGCTCGTAGTCTGTCCACACTGAGAGCTTCCCTGCCTCCAAACACTGTCTACATCTACCAACCCCTTCGGAGCCACAGCACCCTGCAGCCCCCGGCCCCCGCTCCCCCCCACTGCACCCTGGGTACGCTCCATCTGTCGATGTCCTCACGTTCGCTGCAACTAGTTGCATGATGGGTAATTAAGCATCTTGGAGATGGATGGAACCAAAACGTATTTCCACCACTTTGTTCCTTCCAGGGATCATCACCTCCACCCAGGAGTATTCCAGGGACCACATCCTCGCCACCTCCACCTACGATGGTGGGGAGGAGGGGAACCAGCAGCCCTGGAGATCCGTCTGCACCTCCTCCACCTGCACCACCGCCAACAGCAGCATGCCAGTTCTAGTTGCTCCCCCCAAACAGCTCGGCCCTCCTAAGGTCCCACTTCGCTGCAAGGCCTCCGCCAAGCGCAAGGTACCGCGCTCGCCCTCACGTAGGCGCTCGCCCTCCTGTAGAGAAACGCGCTCGCCCTCCCGTAGAGAAACGTAGAGAAACGCGCTCGCCCTCCCGTAGAGAAACGCGCTCGCCCTCCCGTAGAGAAACGCGCTCGCCCTCCCGTGGGCGCTCGCCCTCACGTAGACTAAATCTCTCGCCCTCCCGTAGAGTACCGCGCTCGCCCTCTCGTAGAGTACCCCTCACGTTGATGAGGTGACGTGTCTCACTGCCAACCAGGAGCCGCCAGCCGTTTATTTAGTGTCACTCTGTACTCTGCTTTCTGACCGCGGCTTTACCTGTTTGATGTTGGGCGGGTGAACGCCGGGTGCTGGTCGTCTTCGTTGGCCGTTTGCCTCAAAAGACGAATGATGAGTAATGAAATCAGCAGCGAGTGGTAAGAGTCCTAATGCAGGTCCCTCTGTGTGTAGGTGGAGGAGATGGAGGTGGACGACTTCTACGATTGCATCAAACGCCTCTACAACGAAGACGGCGTCCACGAGGGGGCGACAGGTGGAGGAGGAGGAGGTGGAGGTCTCGGCGTCTGCAGTGTCCTGTTGACCCGACAGGAAGGCAGCTCTTCCCCCTGCCCGCCTCTGCAGCCGGTCGGTTCCTCCTAGAGACCAAACCGCCGCCACGCCGCCGTCAGCGTTACCTTTTGAAATGAAGCTGCGTCAGCGACGGGCCTGTTGTTCCGTTTAAAGTGCGCAGCGGTAACCAATGACGTCGGCCGTGACGGGGGTTTGGTTCCGACCCGAGCGTGACCCCGAGCCTTCGAGCAGCTCCCATCATCCCCTGCAACAGGAAAACGAAGCCCAAAAACAAAAAAAACCTGCTGCTGTGTTATTAACTTTATTCGTTGCATTATGACAAAAAGATTTAAAAAAATATATAAATACAAAAGTTACATAAAAAAAATCCGAATTGAGCCCCGTCTCCCTCCGTCTGTCCTGTTTGTCAACTTATTTTTGTTGTTCACATCTTTAACTTTCCGTTCCTATATTTATGTTGATTCTATCTTCATCACTCTGCATGTTCTCGTCTCTTTCATAGTCTGTGGAAATGTGACGATTCTGTGTATCGTGCAGCCTTTATCTTTTTAGTGAAGTGCAATTTGAAGGTGAGATGCTGATATCTAATATCTGCCTCCTACGAGTCCCTCTGCCCCCCCGGCCTGAATGAACATGTTTCCATCGCCCCACAAACTGAAATCTTGCTTTAATCCTTTAAGGTTCTAATGAAAGGCTCCCAGGTCCATTCATTACTGATCCGCCCCCGAGGGAGTCAAGTGCTAGTCCATATGTAATAACACAACCCTGCCCTATTTAAAGCATTTAATATTAAGCTATTAAATGAAAACGTTTTTTGTGTCTGCGCTTCAGTAGGAGTTTCCAAAAAAACACGCTTTGTTTTTATTGAAGTTCTGTTTAATATATTTGTGTTCCTGTAAAAAGCACCGTTTCCTGCTGTGGGAGATGCTGGTGGCTGCTTCGGGTCCCTGAATGCACCACAGCACCAATAAATGAAGAGATAATACTATAAAAAACGGAGCTCTTTGTCCTTATTCTGCCACACCAACATGTGCATGTTTCACATTGTAGTTCTACACCTGAACAACACGACCACAGTGACAGCGAGCAGCTTCCTGTCACATCTTCAGCCTTCTGTCCAAACTACACGTCCGTCCGTCCAAATAGCTCGAAAAATATCTTTCAATTCTGCTGCTCTTCAATTAAACAGATGGAAGCAGAATTGTTTTGGGGGTTCGGACAAAGCTGATGTTTGGAAACCAAGACAGAAATCAAATTATGGATTCAGACCTCAATCTGAATATAAAGACAATTTCAAAATCGGCCTCTTATCACCTGAACCTCTTGGTTCTAGGACTTCATTCATTTCACTACACTTCAAACGGTGTGTTCACAGTTCTCTCTGCGAGTCAATCAGAAGACTGCAGCCTCACCAAGACCAGAAAGAGGATCACATCCCTCCAGTTCTGAGGTCTTTGCACTGGCTTCCTGTCAACAAAGACTGCTGGCGGTTTAAAAAGAGTCAAAATACACGTCTGACCTGCTGCCACCTCACAAACCATCCCGACCCCTCCGGTCGCCTGAGAGGCAGAACCAAACCCGAGAAGCAGCGTTCACTTCTTCTGCTCCACATAAAAAGCTGCTGACTTGAATTTGACTTTAATTGAAATGTCTCGTCTGTTTTTAAATGTCCTTTTCCTTTGATATTTATGTGAAACACTAAACTGCCTTAATGTTGCAATGTGTTATACAAATAAATTGACCTTTCCTTATTAAGGTCAGGGGGGAAATGACCTTTTCACATACAGCCATATTGGTTTGGATATTTAATTTCCTTTAATAAATTAAATCATTTGAAAACTGCATTTTGTATTTACCTAAACAGGTTTTCCCGGCACTATATGGGAGCCACAGCATGTCAGGGAAATGAAACATAGTTTAATAGAAATGGCACCGATCTAGCAAGCAAAAAAGCACCTGAAAGACAAACGTAATACGTACAGCATGTAAACACACATTGTTACATTGTTATCATACTAAAGTCACCTGACCTCAAATTCTTTCCTCCGATTTTCACCTGGAGGTTTGTTTCGTCTCACTCCTCCGGTTCGTCCACTTGTCAGACCGTTTGACTTCACGCCTGCAGGCGAGTACAACGGAAAAAAGCACCCACCTTTTTCTAAACGGCCCCACCAGCTTTATCTGACAGATTTCATATAACGAGTTATTTCACTGTAAGTTCCTTTCCTTTAGAAACAAACCCAAGCAGCAGCTTTGGAAACGGATCAAATAACAGACGTCAAACAGGTTCAGAAAAAGCCGCGGTATCGTTGGAGAATCAGACCGATACCGGAGCTCAAAGACGCTGATACCCAACGATGGGTCTTTGGGCCGTGCGTCGGGTACTAGTGCTCGCTGTCCTTTAGGTTACAGGTCTGGAAGCGGGTGGATCCGTTTTTATTGTTCAACAGTATTTGTTAGAGCGTGTAGACTCGGCTAATCCCCCACAGGGGCACGCAGACCCAAACCAGGAACCAGGAACAAAGTGCATGTGACAAAAAAGCTCCCGACTGTGGATTCGAGTTTCAGAGGAGACGTGTTGCAACGTGTCACCTCGCTGATCCCCGATCCAGGGACGTCACAGCGCGTACGCTACGATGCCAGGTTTCCTCCCGTGATCGGGACGAAAAGACACGGATGCACATAAACCTTTAGATGCCAGCGAGACCCCAATTACCCCGTTCTGTGTTTTAGCCCCATCGAATGCTTCAAAGGGCCGACTGCCTCCAACCTGGTTCAGTCAAGTGGACCAATCAGGAGAAAGAAAAAGCTGCTTCCTCCATCGGTTGAATCTTTAAACCGAAGAGTCAGCCTGGTGTCCGTAGAAGCGCTGCAGCGACTTGTGTTTGAGGAACGCGGCAATGGATGACGACCTCTTGACCCTCGTTGTGCCAGTCATGACAGGCGGCCTCTCTCCCTGCGACGCGAAGGAGAGGTGATGCCGCCGGCGCTGCCGCTGGGGCCGCACCGGGTCGTGGTCCTCCGCTCCGACGCCTCTCGCTTCCCCCCCGCCGGCAGGCCGCGGCGGCGCTCCCAGCAGCTGGAGGACATCCGGCGGCGCGCCGCCACCCAGGTACTGCCAGGGCTTCTTCCCCGCCATGTCCCTCAGCGTGACGTCCGCGTTGAAGTTGGTGACCAGCAGACGCAGGACGTTCTTGCTGTTGTGGATGGCGGCGACGTGGAGAGGCGTGTGGCCGCACGTCGACTTGGCGTTGATGTCGAACATCAAACCGGCCTTTTGGACTCCGTACCTGAAACCACAGCCAGAGGAGGCGATTTACTTTCTCAAAAAGTAAATTGCGATTCTTTAAGTGAATTTGTGCCAATGTTCTTCCAATTGTAGGCATGTTAACTCGACGAAGGCGTCTCAACGTGCTAACGTGCTAACTGCATGCTAACTAGGTGTGTTAATGAAGGAGTAGATCATGAACCATGAGAACAGTTGACCTACCACAAGGTGTTGAGGACTCGGTGGTCGCCGTGTTTTGCGATCCAGTGCAGCACGGTGAAGCCCGAGATGAAGTCCTGCTTGTTGAGCAGGGACGAGTCCTCTCTGAACATGGTGTAGATGTCGGGCCAGGCGCCCGCCGCCCCCTTCACCATCCACGCGTGCTCCCTGGGCTCCAGGGGGACCAGGGACTGATGGAACGTCATCAATGGCAACGGAACCGCATCGTATCCGGTGGACGATATGAGGGAAACAAGATGTCCAGATTGTTAGTGAACAAAAGGCCCAATTAAGATTCCTTAATGTAGCCTTTCATTTACATAAAGACATAGAAAATACACCTTGGAATAAATCCCCAAACAAAAGGACACAGAGAGGGTGGACTGCATGCTGACCGACCGAGGAAATGGCCTGAAAGACGTTCAAATCGGAGAGTAAAATATATTAAATAAAAACCACCAATTGTCCATTTTCTGGGCTGTCAGAGCTACACGGGACATGCGGTTGCTCTGCGCGGCCCACAGTCTGCAGAGGACCACCACTGTGTCCCCTGAAGACGTCCTGCTAAATGTGGGGACATTGTTGGCACTTGAAACACAGCCGTTAAATTAGAGTTACGAGCAAAGTGCACGAGGACAAGAGGAAGAATGGGAACCGTACAGGTGCTTTATTTATTACTGTTACGAATAAATAAAGCAACATCACTTCAAATGTGTGGTATTTTATCCAATATTGTATCGTAAGTATCGTGATATTCATCGTACTGAATTGATTGACAGATTAAAAGGTGAGTAATAAGAATAGAAGATGCAGCACGAGCTGGTTCAATTACTTCAACGGGACCCTGGAAGTCTCACCTGCCGACTGGGGCCTTCGCGTTGAGCAGGGGGGGAGGCGGTGGGAGGACTCCTCCCTCTCGCATTCGCCCCCTCGTCCGGGTGGGCGGGGCTGGGGCAGCGCGGCGGCGTGCAGCAGGACGACAGCGAGGAGGAGGACGAAAGGTCGTAGCGCAGGCTGAGCGAGGAGGAGATGAGGTGGAGGCGGTTCAGCCGAGCCATCTCGCTTCCCCCCCCCACCCTCGCCTCCTCCTGCAGCAGCTGGTCCAGGTCGGTTCCCAGGCTGCGGCACATCCTGCTGCTGAGCCGCCTGGCGCCGGCCGGCCGCGGCCGCGTCTGCGAAGAGGTGGAGCCCTCGCTCGACTCCGCCTCCTCGCGGCGGTCGTCGAGATCACCTGCCGGAAGTCAAGAATTGAGGCTGGTATAAAGACGCTGGGCCCGACATGTGATCACAGAACCCCCGACCCATAACAGTCTGCTGTGACCTGTGGAGAGGTGCCACGGTATCGCGTGGAGACGGTCGGAGGAGCCGTGGAATGGCACCAAACCAGCGGCGGCCTCCTGGTCGTCATGGAGATGGCCTGCGGAGTGATCCACAGACTCCTTCCCTTGGCCCGGCTGGGTTGCTTCCTGGATTTGAGACCCGCCCACAGTCGCACCTGTTGACATTTACAAAACGCAGCATTTTATTTCAATGTCAGGTTCCAGCACGCAGTCATTTACCACGAAGCTGGATTGTTACTCGACACGTCTGGCTTCAACAGCTTGGTGGTGTAGATTTTATTTTCTGCAGCAGGGTGGTGTACGTGGGGTCAAAACTACAGTGTGTGTGTGTGTGTGTGTGTGTGTGTGTGTGCGCGTGCATGTCATCTAGTGAACCAGTCTAGCTCATTGATGTCATTCATAGCATTCGGACAACGGAGCCCACACAGAAGCGGGTCACGGGGTCACGGGGTCGTACCTGCTCCGGCCGGTGGATCTTCATGGTTCAGTCCTGGTCCTTTGGGGGAGCCAAATGACCGCTGGTGGCCGGAGGCGCTTTCGTACGATGAGGGGGAGAAGATGCCGCTCTGGCTGGATGGCAGCCACGCCCCCTGGCGTTGATCCCGCCCCTGCCTGGGCTCCGGCGGGACACCTACGTGGTGCGAGTGCGCCGAGGATGGAATGTAGCGCTCCTCATCCAAAGGCAGGCTGCCGGTGGTCCTCACCGGACCTGACACGGGTTCCAGCTCTGGCCCGGCCCATTGGCCACTTGGCCACACCCCTGACTGCATGCTCCGGCCCGGCCCACCGGGGGGCTTTGTTTCCGGACCCTGGACTGAAACCTTCAGGATCCGTCTCTCTGATGAGGAGGAGGATGAGGAAGAGGAGAAGACAGTGGGGAGGCCATGAGGGTCTACGATGGACGGCGAGGAGGCGGAGATTGGTCGTAGTGTATCTGAAAGAGGGTTGGCGGGGGCCCACCTTCCTCCTATTGAACCCCGCCTCAGTTCTTCCTCCTCCTCCTCCTCTCCCTCGCCATCATCACCATCATCATCATAAGACACAGCGGTTTTGTAGCTGGGTCTGTACCTCATGCGCCGCGGGGGACCCGGCGGCTGAAGGCCGAGGTGTGGAAGAGGCCCCTGACGAAGGCCTCGCTCGGTCTGCAGACGGGCCTCCCTCCCTCTTGGGGGGCGGCGGGACCTTGCTGTCTGGTGGCTGCAGGTGCGGTCCCAGCAGGCGGTCCCAGACCCGCCCTGGTCTGACCCTCTCGCAGGCGCTGACCTGGGGCCGGCTGCTCGCTTCTCTGTGGGATCGGACTGACCGGAGCTGCTGGTCTACCGGGTCCGGCTGTGCTGGTCTGCTGTCGCGGTCCCGGGTTCATGTTTGTTGCCCCACTGCTGTTGTTGTTGTTGTTGTTGAGCAGGATCCCAGCCGCGGGTAGGATCGTTTTCTCGGCAGTTGCTGCCGCCGGTGCGGGCAACATCTCCGCCTCTAGCAGCGGCTTCCGCGCGCTGCGGGCGGGGCTCGGCGCGGCGTTCCCCGGGGGCGGCTCGGCGCGCCTCCCGGCGGCGTGTGGACTCGGACGCGGCTCGGCGGAGCCCCGTTGGCCGCCGCCGGGGACTTGTCCCCTGAACCTCTTCCTGAGGGACACGTACGAGACGCCGTCCTCCTGTCGGACGGTGGCGACGGAGTTGACGAACTGCTTGAAGAGCTCCCGGTTGCGGTTCTGGTCCACATGGCCCCGGAGGAAGTTCCCGAAGTGCAGAAGCAGGTCCGAGTTCTTGGCCGAGCCTCCGCGGCTCCGCAGGAAACGCAGCAGCGCGTCCTGAGAGAATTCTGTCGCCATTCCGGCCTCCGGTCCCTCGGTCCGCCGCGCCGCGCGCAAAGGTCGGACAGTTGTCGCCTGAGGCTCCGCCCCCTCAGGTATCCACCCCACGGGACCTGCCGCATTCCTGCACGTGACCCGGATGTGTGGGCCACGCGGGTTGTGGAATATAACATCTGTCCTGTTGTTCGGTACGGAACAGGTGTTTGCGCGTGCACGCCACCATCGAGCGTTGCGGTTTTCTATTTTTTAGAAGAATCGAATGTTTTTGTGCGTGTAAAACAATTATAAGCATTTTAATTTCAGCCGCTGAGTCTTACACACGTTTTAGTAACGGCGTCTTTTGTTTTTGCTAAATGTGGTTTATGTAGAAGTATTTAATCCAAACTTAATCCTCTGCAGACATGCTGGCTGAACATTTAATATTTGTGTTTTGGAGGATGGACACACGGATTAAATTAGGTCTGTAAACGGATTCTAATGTTTTCCCTGCAACTAGATTCATTAAACAAAACAAATCTATGAGCAATTTAAAATGAATAAATGGAAAATGACAAAGTATTAATTGCCTTCTGTTGTGTCCCATCCGAATGCATGATTAGGAATTTGTTTCTTGCAATATCATAAAAAATAATTCATTTGGAATATTTTGTGATGTATTAATGCTTACCTCGTTGGACGTTACCTCGTCCCGCTTGCAGCCAGAAACATGGAACATGGAACATGGAGCAGGAAAGAAAGAGACCCAAACGCTCCTTTCACACGACACAATGCAACTGATCCAATGTCAATATCTGAATATTGATTACAGCGTATCTGCTGTAGTTCAGACAAACACCTGCAGGTGGTGTACTAGACATGTTCATTTCATCATGTCAGTGTGTGCGCGTGTGTGTCTGTGCGTGTGTCCGTGCGTGTGCGCGTGTGTGTGTGTGTGCGCGCGCGCGTGTGTGTGTGCGCGTGCACAACTTGAAGACAACACAGAGTTAATTTACAAAATACATTTATTTTGTAAAACAAAAACGGTGCTTTTTGTAATTTAATTGTCCTTCTTTCATAAAGCGAACATTGAATTTCATCCAATGATAAAATGTCTTGATATTCTGTGGTGCCTTTGTGGACTTCACGCCGTCCGGACACACTGAGAACATTCAGAAGGTTAAAACAGTGAAATGAAGAATGAAAACAGATCTAAACTACGTGATAAACCCTCGTGTTTTCTCACTGCTGCCGCTGTTAAACAATAAATATTGGTGCTCTCCTGAGGGACAAAGTGTTTCTGTATTTCAAAATAACTTGATTGTGATGGAACATTATAGTTCATTACTATTTCATCATTATGCGTTTCCTTGTTGGTTGCACCTTTGATCCTTTTCATATAAAACAGTGATTCCTCCATGTGGTGGATCGTTTAGTAAACTAAAGGGGGTGAAGTTGTACGATGTCGGGAGGACAAGCCTGGCAAAACAACCCCGGCGATGTCATCAGGCTCTGATTGGCTCTGGGACGTGAACCCAGCGCACAGAGCCTTTGTTACAAACTGGTAAACGTCCAGAACGTTTATTTGGTCGTATCAAATATTCTATCGAGTTGCATTGCAGCAACCGTGGGATCCGGTGGGCCGTGACTCATGCTAGTAACAAAAAGTCTGCCTCCACTTCTTTGATATGAGTCGTTATTATTCTTTATGGAAGTGCAGCACAAGGCACCAGTGTTTCTTTATCACAAGGAGGACAAATGAAACCAAATTGAAATGTGATCAGAAAAAAGTGCGAGAAAGCTTGTAACGTTTATTATTGGGACCTGAAAGACTTTAACCGGTTTAACCGCAACACCACCACTAGTCACTTTAATGAACACAATGATTGACAGCTCATCTGTCAGCCTGTCATTGCTTCTCTGTCTTAAGTTGTTCTGACTTTCATGTCATAATAAATTAAATATTTTTTGGTGCAGTATATGCAACAAATATGTTATTATTGCTAATCAGAAACGGACTGAGATTATATTCATCAGTAAAGGTTGTAGATTGAAATAAACTTTGAGCAAAGGGAAGAAAGTGTTGTTTGCTTTTGGAACAAACAAAACTTAATTTAAAATCAAAACCAAGTAGCAAACAAAATGTCCTGTGAAAACTCTTTGGAATCTAAAGGCGTTTGAAGTTGAAATGTTTCTTCCCTAAAGAAGTAGAAGTGTGTCGATGCTTCAGTGTAATGCAGCAAACAGCTACGAGCTGCAGACAAACAGTAGTAGTGTTACAGTGTCATGTGACGTGTTCCAGCTTCACCGTCCACACGCTCACTTTGCGGCCGTGAATTAAACGATAATGTCCCTCCGAAGTTTAACGCCTTATTCTAAAGACAGCGTGGTATTTTAAAACAGCTGCTCCCTTCGTCTTGTCATGAGAATACAGAGTTTCTGAGCGAACGTCTGAATGTTGCGTCAGGGTTGCTGACATTTCTGATCCTTTTAATTCTAATTGGAGCTGCTGTCTGGTAATAATAAGGCCGATTAAAGCCTCGGGGGTCCTCTGGCTTTCCAAGCTATCTGGAAGATGGAGGATAAATTCAAGCTGACATTTACATTCACAGCTTTAAATTGTCACTTTAGTTTTTACTGGGAGGGACATTCAGCTATTGAAAGAAACAAATTGCGTTTTTTAAGTTGTTCGGAGGCCCGTGAGAGCAGAGGATCATGGGAAGTCGTGTGCATGTTGTGTGAAGTCAGGCTCCTCATGTGAAGCTCCTTCAGCTCAGGGAGCCAATGGTCTGGTCTCTCCCGCCCATCACGGCACGTCTGTGACATCACAGCGACGTCACGGTGGTGGTCTTGGCTGAGTAGGCGGGGCCTGGAACCACGGAGGGCAGTAAAGGCGGAGGGCATTGGGCGGAGCTCGGCGAGGAGAAGGGGTTCCCTCCGGCCCAAACGCGAGCCTCCGCTAGCTCCTGCGTCGGACCCTCGGCCAGACGCGCCAGCTGCTCCTCCGCCCGCCGCATGAGGTCATCCACGCGCCGCTGGCGGATCATCAGGGAGGGTTTGCTGCTGACCAAGTGCCGGTAGTCTTGGAGCTGCGCCTCGGCGAGGTGGCGAGACAGGATGGCGTGGACGACACGTTGCCGCCGGTCCAGGTTCTCCTTGAGCTCTCGGGCGTCTTCGGTTTGTCCGAGGAGCAGAGAGCGTTTGTGACGGAGGGACTCCTGAACGCAACGAGAAGACAGAGGGTCCATCAGCTTCAACGGCATCGTTTCTCATCACTGATGCCTCAAACCGTGCATGTCAACATCCAAAGGGACCACAATGGAAAGTTCAGAGATCTCTGGAATGAATGGAAGTCACCGTGGTCCACTTACTGGACACAAGGACATTTTGACATGCACAATTAGGAAGGCAGAGGTCAGACTGTATACAGCCGGTGACAGAGCTGATGGCATTTTGTCTGTTGCCATCTTGGATCTTTGCAACCAGGAAACGGGATTGACCATGTTGGACGTACAGGAGTGACGTAGAGACTCACTTACCTGTCAATCACAAAGTCCTCCCCCGCTTTACGGTCTGATGGACTTTAAGTGGATCATCTACTAGATGAAGATAATGCTGTGCTCAAGATTAAACTAAAGATTGAGACCATGGACTCGTGTCTAAGATGTTTACTGGCAGGTAAATCAAAGGAGAAGAGTCATTCATACGATCTGAAGAGCCTCCTGTTCAGTTCAAAGTTCAACTGAGCTTCGAAAATGAGCTCCCATTAAAAAAAATAATGTCATGTGTAATGTCATGTCCTACAACTAAATGAAGACAAAACTGAGATCATTGTATTTGGTGGTAAAAAAGAAAGGTTTAAAGTAACCCAACACCTTCACTCTCTGTCCCTGAAAACATCAAATAAAGCCAGAAATCTGGGGGTTATTATGGATTCAGATTTACACTTGGAGAGTCACATCAAATCAGTAACAAAATCGGCCTACTGCCACCTCAAAAATGTAGCACGACTTAGAGGGCTCATGTCAGCTCAAGACTTAGAAACACTTGTACATGCCTTTATAACTAGTAGGCTGGACTATTGTAATGGTCTCCTTGCAGGTCTGTCAGGCAGCTCCAGCTTGTTCAGAACGCTGCTGCTAGAGTTCTAACAAAGACCAAAAAATGTGAGCACATTACACCAACTCTTAAATCCTTACATTGGCTCCCAGTATGTCAGAGAATTCATTTCAAAATCCTACTGCTCACATATAAATCACTACATGGTTTAGGGCCAAAGTATATCACTGATATGCTTCCACTACATAAGCCTTCAAGATCACTAAGATCTTCTGACACCATCTGTTAGTGATTCCCAGAGTAAATACAAATCATGGGAAAGCATCATTTAGTTACTACGCAACAAACAGCTGGAATAAACTTCCTGAATATTTAAGACTTTAAGCCCCAACTCTGACCACGTTTAAAACAAGACTGAAAACTTTATGTTCAGCTTCGCCTTCTGCTAAATTACACCTACATTGCACTTTTAACCTCTGCCTTTAATTAAACAATTTAAATAAGATTTTAATTTATAATTTTATTTGCTGTTTTTAATTGTCTTTTAATTCCTGCATTTTATTTCACTTTATTGTATGAAATGTTATAATGTGAAGCACTTTGAGTCTGCCTTGTGTATGAAAAGCACTATACAAATAAACTTGCCTTGCCTAAAGCGAGACCTGTCCCGATCATGCTTGGCTGTGGCTGTTTTGTGAGTCCTGGGTGAGGACGGGCAGGTCTCCTGGGACGGAGGCTGGATGACTCCTGCCATCACACCTGTTAAGAATCAACCCTCGTCTGAACACCCTTCTTAAGGATCTGCAGGAGCTCCGGTCCTTTTGTCTCCTCTAGCTTACCTCCCGTTGCCGGAACCGGCTACACGTTGGGAGCCTTCACCGCCTTCCGTCTCGCCCCCTGCCTGCTTGCCCCACCACGGACTGTAGCCTCAGCATACAGCCAGCACCCTCCTCTCCTACCTGGACTCCCCCCTGCTACATGCCCCTCCTGTCCTGAGGTTCCTCATCCCCCCCCTGAAGATCTCCAACATTTCTACCAATAAACATTGTTCTCACTCCCACCTCTGCCTACAGTATCTGCATTTGGGCCCTCGCGTTACGGTAGACGGCTGGTCCAGCTACCCGTCACAAGACCTCATTTACTAACTCTTTCTGGTGAGTGTTCATCCTACGTAGAACATTTAGTATTTCAAACTCGTAGCAGGTGACCTGCAGGTAAACGGGCCTTTGGGGAAGCGCGTCAGACGGGTGGATCCTGTCTCACCTTCTCGCCCGCCGTGTCCTCCTGCTCCCCTCTCTCCAGAGCCAGCAGCGACCTGTCGATCCTCGACAGCCGGCTGCACAGCGACAGCAGCAGGTTCACGATCCTCTCCAGATCTCCTGCGCACACACAAAAAACGGGTCAGCGTCTAAGTTGGCGCCCGCGGGACGAATGCAGAATCCCTGGCAGACGGCGTACCGATGAACACGCTGTACTTGTCCCTCTCGTTGGCTTTCAGGCGTTCCTGCACCAGGGCGTCGACGTTTGCCCCCAGCGCCTGGTGGCATCGGTGCTCCTCGCACAGCGCCTCCTTCTCCCGCCGCAGAGCCTCCATGCTGCTCCTCAGGGCCTCACACAGCTCCAGCTGGTCAACAGGGTGCGAAGGGGGCTATTTTACGCTAATGTAAATGTTGTAATAATAATAATCACAGTACATTTGTGTTTTTACCTTCCTGGTGCTGAGGTCTTTCTCTTCCTCGTCCAGATTGGTCTCTTTCCCCCGACCCGCCGCTGTGCTCTGACCAGAACCACAGACACCATCTGGGATCCTTAGAAGGTCACAACATTTTAGAATGGGAAACATACAAACAAACGAACAAAACAGAATCTAGGTAAACGGGAAAACATGATCAAAATGTTATTAAATGCTGAATTTGACAGGTTCAGTTAGACCAGTGGTTCTCAAACTGTGGGGCGTGACCCTCTGGTGGGGCGCGAGGGGCTGGGGGAAATGTAGATTTGTTTTAAATAAATAAAAAATGCATATATATATATATATATATATATTATTATAGGGAACAGGAACATTATTCTCTTTATTACACATGCTTAGTAATTAAGGAGCAGTGCGCTGCTGTGACACTGAGACACAAACTATGAGAGAACACGGATCGAAACGTCACAGCCCTGTTTAGTAATTAGTATACAATTAGCTATTTTTGCACAACTTTATTTGCATCGTTCCAACAAAGAGATTGCACATTTTATTTTTGTCTGATGGAGCACACGTCTGGTTTACATTTTCTTTATTCTATTATTAATAAAAGCACACATGGAGTCAGAAAATGATTGTTCTTCCTCCAAAGGGAACAGAAAAGGGTTGAGTCAGACAAACTCTGGCAGCTTGGTGTCCGCATTGACCAGCTGACCAGCAGGAAGACAAATCTCCTTCTATCATCCGTGGTTACACCTAACGTATGACCTGTGCCGGCAACAAAGCCACAAAACTAAAATGATTTTTCTTCTTCGTCCCCATGTCTGATTTTTATTTTAGGAACCAAAAGTATTTGCGATTGATTATAGTTTGTGGATATAAACCGGGCTAATACTCATTTTCAGAAAACGCAACAGTAGCAAAAGAAAAATATTTGGGACACCTGTAGAAACATTACAAAAAGCCATATTGCATAATATATTCACCAAAAGTCAACCCTCAAAGAAAACGCCTCCTTTTTGCCACCGACTGGACAGTAATTTTCTGCAATCCCTTTTCTTGAGATAAACACACTTAAAATGAAGGTCTTTATTCTTGTGTGCTCCATCGTTTGACTCCATCACCAGTCTGAAATGTGCATTCTCTGGTTATAATCCACCATCCTGGAGTTTTTACTAACTAGGCGACGACTGCAGCAGTAATCAGAGAGTTTTAGTAAAGTTGGGAAAAAACAAACCAGCACTTTTAAACCAGGAATAGGTATTTAATTTAAAATAATCACTTCTTTGACGTCAATTAGTGAGAATATTTTAAAAAGGAGGAATGTTTTTTGATAAAGTTACTCAGAATCTTAGCGTTTTTAAAATATCACTGAAAATGTTCTATGAATGTTCAAAGACACACACAATTACCTGCAATCCAATTGGCTACTGCCCTTATGCTGCCGTGGTGATTGTCCAACCAATCTGCTGTTTGGAAAGATCTCTTCCATGAGCTCAACAGTGGACTTACTTCCCAAGGTTTCCAGGAGGGGCACCAGAGAACTGTCCTGCATCACCTGGAGACAACAGAAAAGGAAGAAGCAAAGTATGTTTGACAGTAGAAGTCCGATCTGGTTCTGAAAACAAACGTATAGTTGAGATTATTTATAATGACTAATGACACAGGTAAAGTCAGAACTAGGTACTATGACAAGGATGAGTCAGAACTAGGTACTATGATAAAGATGGAGTCAGGACTAGGTACAATGACAAGGATGGAGTCAGAACTAGGTACTATGACAAGTACTGAGGCCAGACTCGTTCCTCCTATAAAGATCCAGTCAGGACTAGGTACTATGATAAAGATGTTATCAGGAACTAGGTACAATGACAAGGATGGAGTCAGGACTAGGTACTATGATAAAGATGGAGTCAGGACTAGGTACTATGATAAAGATGGAGTCAGGACTAGGTACAATGACAAGGATGGAGTCAGGACTAGGTACTATGATAAAGATGGAGTCAGGACTAGGTACTATGATAAAGATGGAGTCAGGACTAGGTACTATGACAAGGATGGAGCCAAGTCAAAACTAACAAGTGAGTCGAAACAAGTGACCACAACAAAGTCATACGCTAAAGTCTGTACAAAGACAAAAGGCTCTTGTCGTCTCCCTCCTGGACTACTGTAACTCTCTCCTGCAGGTCTCCTGCTACCTCCATTCCACCTCTGCAGCTCATCCAGAATGCAGCAGCTCCACTGGTCTTTAACCTTCCTAAGTTCTCCCTCACTCCTCCACTCCTCCGCTCTCTTCACTGGTACCGGTGGCTCATCCAGTTCTAAACATGGTGCTCACGTACCATGCTGTGAATGGATCCAGCTTACATCCAGGACCTGGTCCAACCCGACATCCCGACCCGCACTCTCCGCTCTGCATGTGATAAACTGCTTGTTCCTCCTCACTGAGAGCAAAACACTCGACTAGATCTCCACTCTTTGCTGTCCTGCTCCTAAATGGTGGAAGGAGGTCTCTGAAGACATCAGGACCACAGAGAGCCTTCACATCTTCAGACTAAAGACACACCTCTTCACACTCTACCTCCACTAACACACTAACTAACTGTAGCACTTACACTGGACTTATAATGGTTCTTATCTACAGCAGGTTGTAGATCGGCTTATTTGAGGATATTGCACTTTCTTGTTTCTTGTTCTTCTGAGTTTGTGTCCTTATGGTTGAAATGTTCTTATTGTAAGTCGCTTTGGATAAAAGCGTCAGATAAATGACACGTTATGTAATGTAAAAAACGAAGTACCCTGATCAAGGTAGAGTCAGAAGTGAACAAGCAACCTTTTTCCAAATCCACTTGTGACGCAAGGTACCCACCAGCTGCCGGGCCAGCGTCTCCACGCGCAGCTCCTCAGGTGTCGGTTCCCTGGTGGGTAGAGGCTGGTACTCAAGACCCAGGTCACCGCTCGTGGTAGATGCGGTGACGGTGGAGAGTGGCGACTTCACTGAAGGAAGGAGGACAGGCACACGCGAAGGATGGACATAGGAGGAAGGAGATGTCGGAGGGGAGTGGAGAGATGATTTCCTGTTGGCAGTGGTGGAGGTGTTTAAGATCTCCATGCTGGTATTGAACACAGTGAAGACAACAGTCAAATGGAAGAAGGGAAAGGGCCAGTTAAAACATTAGTAGAAAAGTACATAATGATAATATTTCTATGTTTTTATTTAAAAAGTTGTAAAACAAACCTTCCCACAGCAGCTTCCTGGTCCAATCCAAGAGGAGGAGGAGGAGAGAAGTCCTCCAAGACGTTTGTCTCTTTGATTGGCAGAGGAAGTGACGGAGGGTTTTGGAGGAAGACCTCATCGCAGTCCTCCTGCGAGAGGCCGGTGGAGGATTCCTGTGGCTGCTGCTGGTCAGCGGGGCCGAAGAAACTCGACTCGGAGATCCGCAGAGACGACAGGTGGTGGGAAGTGGACGGCTGGGAGGATGGGGGAGACGACGATGACGTGCTCCTGCTCTCCTTCCTGTTTGGTGTTGGCAAAATGCGTCTACCGTTTCCCCCAGAATACCCTTCAATCTGCTCCAGACTTAAGGTTCGGCCTGTCCACAGGTCTTCTAGTACGCCGGCGTCACTCAAACTGTGTCCTGTCTCTGTGTTCGTCTCCAGACCTTCCTCGAAGCTGGTGGTGTTACAACCATCACCATCGCCTGTGGCGGTTTGCGGGGTGCCTGGGAAGGTGATGGCGTCCAGGTCGGCCTGGCTCAGCCTCTCGGGAGTATGCCACCCAGCGCCGCCTCTGTCCTGACTCCCGGGGGGGGAGAGGGGGCACGGCAGGCCGACGGAGGCCGCCAAGGTGGAAGTGCTGTGGGTCCGCGGGCGCTCGCTGTTCCTCACTCGCTGACGAAGAGGGACGGGTGTGTGGGAGGGGCCAGCGTCTGGGATCGGAACCGAAGGAAGGGTCCGGGGGGAGAACGTTGGGACTGTTAGATAATACAAAACGTTAAGGATAAATGAAAATGAGAGGCCACAATACAGCAGTACAGTAACTGTTGTATAGTTATAGTTAATAACTTTTGCTCACCTTGTGAGGGTCCTGCAGGCTGGACGGGGTCCACACTGCTTTGGGAGTATCGTGGAGGGAAGAGGCCACCATCTTCAGGTCTGAGAGACACACAGATGTAAGAACACATCAGATCGTCCTACTTTACAGCCGTGTTAATGAGGACAAGTATGTTTATTCTAAGTTTAGACAAAAGCAACAACACACACAAATATTATAAAATGCCACAGAGAAAAGTACTTATGATTTATAATCTCAATGGTATTACTTTTAATCTGTGATGATCTCTTTTGCCAAAGAGTTTGGATTGTTTGCATTTCCTGGACGGAAAGAACAATTTAAGGACTAAACAAAAATATAGAACAGTTGTCAGTTAAAACACTGCGTTATGGGCCTTTACGATATGTTCTCTTTTAGATTTGGCATTAAGAGGTTTTACGGTCTACTGTCCTATCAGGATTAAGTCAGAGATCTAATGATTGTTAGAGGTCCCTTGTCGGTAATCAGGAGTGATGCATTCACGTTCCTGCACACCAGACAGATCGGTTCAAACATGCACACAGAATTCCTGAAGTGACCTCTGACCTCATTTAGACGGTCATGTGTGAATCGCTCCTCTCCCTCTGTCGCACCACCTAGTTTGTTTTCCTCTCCCTGCATGTTCTCTAACCCTCCCGTCGTTTCAGATCCTCCCCCATCACCCGCTCGTCACCCTCACCTGGTTCTCCCCCCCTCCTCACCTGCAGCGCCTCCCCTCGTCAGCCACCCACCGTTTAACCCCCTCACATCCTCTTGTTCCCTGCCACATTGTCCTGTGTGGTTTCCCAGTGAGCCCGATTTGCATCTGTTCTGACCTCGCCTGCCTTTTGACCCCAGATTCCCGCCTGCTGCTTCTCGGTTTGTTTTCCTGCCTTCTTGCCCTCCTGGTCTCGTCTACGGATTCCCTGCCTGAGCCTCTGGGTTAGTTCGCCTGCTGACGGATCTCCCGGTTTTGACCTTCCCTGAACGTTTGAGTAAATCTACCGGTCTCTCTCATCGTGGTCTGAGTCGTGCTTTTGGGCTTCATCGAGCTCCGGTACCAGAAACCGTCACACCTTCCTGCGTTCTCTCCTCCTCCCATTGAACTTTCAATTCTCTTTAATACTTTTCTCCATTCTTTTCTGTCATCTGAACCCTTTTCCTTCCTTTCTCCTTTTCACCAAAATATACTCTTCTGTTCCTGAGCCTTTTCTTGTTCCACCTCCCCATCCTTCCGTTCCCTCTTCTCTCCATCTTTTTACCCCACATGGACTCATAAGGCCAGTTTGTTTAAAAATGGCAGAGAGCATAAAGTTCTCCCACACGCTGGCTTCTAACCGCCTGTTATGGAAGACGGCGAAGGACGTCTGACCAGACCGACCACCACTGGGAAAAGATGCTGCCGCTCTACCGAAGAGGTCGTTTGAATTTCAACCTACATTCTTCTAGTCGTATGTTGGCAAATGATTTTATCGAACCTGAAGTGAGCCGTGTTCGTGCGAAGGCAAAAACCTGCTCTGGACTTTGAAGGGGAGTCTGGACGGAGACGGACGTACCTGTCCACGGAGCGGCGCCCGGGTTCAGAGACGAAGACGTCGCCTGCGGGGAAGTCCTGAAACACACACGGACAAAGTCAAGTCCTTTGAGGAGGAAGCTCAGATCATTTCTCTGTGGAAACCAGCGGCCTTTTATAAATAACCCCCAGTTTGGAAACATAAAGCCGGTGTGAAAGTATCACGTTTGCTTTCCCCCTACTGGCCATCAGGGGAACTGTCAGGGATGAGTGTGGGTGTTTAAGGAAAATGCACGGGAGAAAACAAAGACTATTTCATGCTGAATCGCCGCGTCAACGCACGCGACAGGATGACTGGTGCCTAATCAAGCCGGGCAGGAACCAGAGAGTTGTGCGACAGCAAAGGCTGAAATAGAACTCTGCGTGTGGAGTGATGCAAACCTGGAAGATCTCCGTAGTCTGGAGAAGCAGCCGGTAAGAGAAGGAACTTTTCAATTGCGTTTCAAATCTTCCCTCCATCTAAGTCTGCCGCTGCATCGGGTTTGAGCTAAAGGTTTGTTACTGCAGCGACCGTTTGCTACGGGTTCTGCTCATAAATGGACATGAAATTGTTTTATTAGTGTAATTAACTATTTATTTTGTTTGTACTGATCATTGTGAGGATTTTGCACTTTGGTACATTTAAGCTGTTGGACTTTTAACTACATTTCAAAGTGTACTTTTTTCTTCAGGATATTATTTCAAACTAAAGTTAATTATTTAAAGCATTTTTACATGTTTGCTGGTGTGTTGTATATTGCTGGGGACTTATGTATGTTTCTGTTTGTAGGTGTTTTACCTAATTTCCTGATTGGATAAATGCTATTGAAATGCTGCAACTTGAAAATGAAAATAAAAGTGGAAATGAATCTACGGCCTTGGACTCAGTCATTTCAGTATCAGCAATTTAAGTGGAATCCAGTGAACTTAAAATCTCCACGTAGATAAATTTCAGTCCCTTTTTCAAGTTGGAATAAAGTAAACAAACTCCTCCGCTTGTATAGAAAGTTTAAATGAATCTAGTTCTCTTGATTTATTGACAGATCATTTCTTAATGATAATTACTCATCCTGAACAAAGGCATCTGCAGATAAATTTCAAACCCAATTCATTATGATACACCAACGGTAAGCAGAGTACCAGACCATTAATAGTTTAGAAGTTGTCCTGGCTGCTCCACTTAACATGGACGCTGTAAAAGCAGGACAGAGGGACCCTGAAATCTACTGTTTGAAGTAAGAGGACGGACTGTTTGTCCGTCTGAAGTGAAATGATGTTTATGTGACACCGCCTGCTCTGATCACTGAGATAAAAGACTAATTCAACCTTTACCGCATTCCTTTAAGGACTGTAGATGTGTGTGTGTTATCTTTGCTATCGGACGGCGCCCAGCGGCCGTCTCCAGCTTCCTGGCCCCCCACAGGAAGCTTTGAGGACTGTGGACATTTCCTGTGTGACTCGGGGCCAAATGTCCCATAACAGCGAGTCATCGTCAAGCCCCACAAATCCAGAGTAAATTCAGTAAGTTTAGTCTACAACAATGTCCACTGCGATGTGAGTGAGCGGCACCTGGCTCAGGGTCTCTACTGTGGGGGAGGAACGGGAGCGCTGGTGTTGAGGAGTCATTCCTTTCTTGACAAATCTCTCCAGGAGATCCTCTGCAGAGGCCGACAGCCCGGAGCCCCGAGGAGGCCCGGAGCCCCGAGGAGACCCGGCCCGCCACAAAAAGAGGTCCGGCTTGAGCTGAGGCTCTGCAGCCCGCTGTGGGGGGTCCGGACCCGGGGCTCTGCCAACCCCTGCTTCAGCTTTGATATCTTGGAGGATCTGGGCCTTGGGCTCAGGAGCACTGGGAGAAGAAAAACAGGATGGAGTTATTGAAATGTAATAATTCAACTTACAAATGACTGACTGTCTTTTGACAGTGTGTGTATGTATGTGTGTGTACATTATTTATATATATATAATATATATATAATGTGTGTACACATTATTTCTAGTCTGCACCACAGAGGTGGAGTGAGTCCTAAAGCCTGCTTTTGGTGTTTTGGATACCCAGAAGAAAGGTGCTCTGGAGCCCTGGGAATGGCCACCCTGCCCGGGTAGAAGACGTTGGACATGAGGCTGCGCTGGTCGGCTCCAGGAGGGAGGGTGGAGCAGAGACGCCTCTCCCCGGAGGAGAAGATTCGATCTGCACCGGAGTCCTGCAGGGACATCAAGCTGGAGGCGGAGGAAAGGCTTATGGTGTCTGAGTGACAGGAGGAGACCAGGGAGAAGGGAAGGAAGGAAGGAAGGAGAGAGGAGGGGAGGGAATGATGAGTAACAGAAAAAAGCAGAGAAGAAGAAACGCAAGAGCTGATTAATCTACTTAAATGTTCGATTTACCTCCTATTTATCCATCACTCATCAAACCCTCCACCCACCTGTGTAGCTGCTGTCTTCAGCCTGTAGATAAGCACTATGGGGCCTCAGTCCACTCCTCTGTCCTGCCTTCTCTCTCTTTTTCACGCTTCTCTTCCTCTCCACGTATTCAGCCAGGGCATCTTGTTGAAGCTGTCGCAGGTCGGGCCTTGACGTTGCATTTTGCAGCGCGCCGCCTCCGAACCGACTCGCCACAAGCTCAAACATCTTCCGCCGGTCTGCCACGCTGGTCTCTAACCCACAGGAAGATCCGGGTCAGTCATCATAGATGTTTGTTTCATAATATACGATCACAATAATGCTAGCTGTATTGTATACCAAAACTTTAGCTTCCTTTATGATCGCTAAAGCACGTTTTCCTACAATTGCAATTTTGAAATACAAGCCAAGCTTCAGATACTTCATTCTGTTAAAATAAACCTGGCAAAATTCAGATTTGTCTGAGAAATTATCTATAGGAGTCAAAACTAATCTGTGGTACTGAACAATACCCGCTGCTAACGGTGCTAACGGTGCGTTTCATCCAAGTGAGCAGCCACAACGCAACACAACACATTCAATTCTTCAGTCCTGTTTCTTCTTAACCAGCAAAGGCTCCTCTTGTTTTTTTGCTGATTTAATTCTAATCTATATTCTGCTCAACATTAGCTCTAGCTATCTGTGAATCTGTTTAGGCTAAAGCGCGATTGAGATAAGCTGAATGGAAATGACAATGAGGAGCGACAGTACAACCGATGTTTTCTGTGTCTGTCTACACGTTTGTACCGTTATCAGTCATCTGGGTTTTAGCTTGTCAAGCAATTCTACACAAAATGTCTTATTCGGTTGTATTGTTTAGTTGTGTGTATTTGGGATCTTCAACCGGTGTATTTACCTCCTCCACGCCTGAAGAGGGCAGCGGTCTCTGCATCTGTAACTCCGACCTCGTTCATGTTCTCAGGCTCAGAGTAAGATCGCTTCTTCTGGTCCACTGTTAGACGCCTGCGGCCGCAGATCCTGGTGAGGGCTGGAGGTCCGACTGGCGGGACAGTGGGAAGGGCTGGCGGGCTCGGGCCTCTGGCCTCCTGGCTGACCACGTGGCGCTCCTTGGGAGTGTGAAGGGAAGTGACCGGCGGCGGGATAACAACGCCCTGTGGTTTGGGCATGGTTTTGGGGCCTATTTTCTCCAGGGAATGGTGCTTGGATGTGACAGGTGGAGCCTGGTGGCTGCTGGAGGAGGAGAAAGGAGTAGGGGAACCAGGAGGTGTAGGGCTGATGGAGGAACTGAGGTCTTTCCTTCTGAAGGAGGTGGACCGCAGGACCTTGGTCTGGGCGTCTTTCAAGGAGTCCCTGTAAGATCTGATAAGAGACACGTCTCCATTGTCAGGGTGGCCCACAGAAACCCAAGACACTGACCTGCAGAAGGACTCGTTTATTGGAGCTGATGAAGTACTCTGACCTTTTGGAGGATTTTGACCTGTTTAAACTCTGTAGACCTGTGGAAATACTCCACAGGCCTGCTGAAGACCTCTGACCTGCTGAACTGTGATTGTTTGGCAGATTATGACCTGGAGTAATGTGACCTATTTGATGACTGACTGTGGGAGTACCCCAACCTGCAGAAGAACTTTGACCTGCTAAAAAAGGTGACTGGTTTAAAGATTGTGACCTGGTCGAAGAATCTGACCTGCGGACGACTGACCAGTTGGAGGACTCTTGAATGGGAGGACTCTGACCTCTTAGAGGACTCTGACCTGTTGAGGGACGTGTCCTGCATGGAGCCAAACATCTCTTGGACGTCCTGTATCCGGGGAAAGTCTTTCCTGCTTTCACTTTCGCTGGATTCATCAAGATTGAAGGTGCTGATGCTCCTCCGGAGAGCTGCAATGGGATCCGCTGGGTTCCTGAAAACCAGACAGAAATGCAGTTTGTATTGTCCCATAATAAATATATATCTATGCATAAGCTTTATCAACAATCCATTTACTTGTATTTCATGTGTTCGCTGTTGCCTCCTCGGTAGCTCATGGTCCTGTGGGCTTTAGTTCTGCTATTGCTTCTCTCCAGCATGTTTCTCAGGTCATCTGCTCCACAAGGGGAGTTGCGGCTTTTCTCGATCTGATTCAAAGTCAGAAAATATAAAGTTGTTAAGAGGAGTAACGTCCAACGCGTATCCAGACTTTCAAATCCGAGAGGCATATTTCACTGTGTGGTAAATTAAAAATGCTTTTGAGTATTGCTTATTATTTGCTTGTCAGCTGAGGAGCGCACGTTCGGCTCACTCACGTTGTCTGGGGCCTTGGCGGCGCTGTGACTGCGCTGCTTCCCGCTGCGCTCCCGACGCTCGAAACAACTGACCTTCTCCAGGACGGAGAGGCTGCGGACGGGCCCCTGGCCGCCGGCGCCGCCGTTGTCGTGGCTACTGGAAGAAATGACACTGTTGGGGCTAGCGCATCGCTGAACCTCAGCAAGGGCGATCTCCAGACGAGTCAGTGGGTGGTCTCTGTCCTTCTCCCACTCTCGGTGGTCCCAGTGCGGGTTCTGCGGAGCTGCCGAGTCACTAGAGTGACGGGGATGAGGATGGCAGGCAGAGGGATGCAGAGCCGGAGGCTGAGGGTAGGACTGGCTAACCTGCCCCTGGGGGAGCCTGGATGATGCCATGGGCTCTGAATAGTCGCTGGCCTGCTCCGTTGATCTGGATAGAGGGGGGGGGGGGAAGTAGCAAGTAAACAGGTGGGACAGTCATCAATGCCATCAAATGACTTCTCCGAAATCACAAATTCCATCCATTCCATCAGCTACAGTTTGCACAGCGGGCAATGAGAGAATCAGACCTCTCAAATCGGTGGGAAGTCGTAATTAGAATTGATTGCAACATGTCGACCAGCATCACCGTGCGTACCTGCTGTTGTCTCCTCTGGCCTGTAGCGGCGTGCAGGTCTCCGCCCGCCGCGAGGAGAGCGGCCGGCATTCAGCGGTCGACGGGATGTGGGCAACATGTGGATCCTCTTTCTGTTCCTGGAACACATGGCTGTTGGTTCTCTGGCTTGTGTGCATATGGGGCCCTTGGAAGCTGTGACCGTGAGGTCCCTGGTGGCTCGGAAGCCTTTGGGTCCCTGTGTGGTCCTTGGATTCCTCTCCAGCTGTTTTCATGTTCACACACTCTTCCTGTTGTCGCCTGATGAAAGGAGAAGACTGAGTTACTGATGGGTGATCGCTGCGTTACTGCCACGTAGCATGATCATGCTGTCTGATGACCTAGTATCTCAGACGCCCCACAACGTCCGGACAGTACAGAGGGATTTAGCCATACGTTGTCAAATAAATAACTTCAGCTCCCTTTTTTTCACAGCCAATGGTTTGAAGGTGAAGACGCTACAGCTGTTAGCTGAGTAGCATAAAGGTCACCTGTCAGCCTGGAGGCCTGGAGGCCTGAGCTGCGTAGAGGCGGAACAGGGGTGTAGTGAGATGTTGTCTTGGTAGCCGTTTTCATCAGCTGGCATCCTTCCATCCCTCCGCCTCTCCGCGGCTCCTTCCTCTCTCCCTCCGTCGGCCGGAGCTCGGTGCGCTGCCGAGGAGCTTGGCCCCTGGCGGGCGCCGGCCACCTGTGCATAGTGGGGCTCCAGGCGTGGGACGGGGTTCACGCCCGCGGGCAGAATGAGCCGGCCAGAATGGGGGCCACTGTCGGGTGGTCCGGAGCACGGTCCAGTAGGGGAGGAGGGCTGGGGAACGCCTCCCCCCTGGCGAGGCTTTGTGGTGGGGCTGCTCTCTGGACTCTTCTCTATCACCGTGTGGAGCTGCCCCTCGGCGCCGTACGAGCCTTTAGCTGGAAGCACAGTAATCGATGATGATGTCACATAGAACATCAGAGGCACAGTGACTGCTGCGTATGAGGTCATTGTTTCCAGAACAAATGGTATATTTGAGACCCTAAAATGAGAAGTCATGTGAGTGTAAATGTTATTTACCTGCATTCGAGGCCACAGGGCCACTGGAGTGATGCCAGGAGCCTTTCTGCAGAGACCTGAATAAAAACAACACCAAATACCATTCGATGAATCTATTTTTAACAACCGAATAGATTTGAATAATATTGTATATACTATAACATTCATATCACATTAGACCTTAGGGTGCAGTGCCACGTGGGATTGTGGAAGTGGGGCAGACTTTGGTGATGAGGATTTGTTGACATTGTCGAATCAATCGTCTCAGATTGGCAGCGCCTACTCACCGCAGTGATCGTGCGTGATCCAGACTGGACCAGGAGTTTGGTCTGTCGTGGTTCCTGATGGCTGTGTAGCTGTCGCTGCGCCTCGGTGGAGCGGGCGCCCCCTTCAGGCTTTCGTAGGAGCTGCGGCTGGCTGGTAGGCCCCAGATGGGACCCACGCTGTGTCTGTTTGATACCGGGGCGCCGCCGCCGCCACTTCCACGGTAACAGACCCCGCCCACTGAACCTGTTGCCAATAGTACAAAAGCAGAAACAATGAAGTCCCGACATTAGAGTTCCATTACCCAAGAGCCCGTCCTAAAGCAGAGCGTCACCTTGCACATCTCGGCCCGGCCCTGGCCGATCCGACCCCCCGCCTCTGGGATCGCTGCTGTGCGGCAAGGCGCCGGAGGCGGAGCTCAGCTCGTGCTGGGCATCGTACCCCGTCCGGCCGTAACACGCATCGGCCGCCTGCATCTCTCCAGCGCCTCCTCCCCTCTGAGGGACGGTCTCCAGCGAATAGGAGCGCTCCGGGCTGAAGGAGGGGTTGGAGGTTAGGTACTCGGGGATGCTGGAGCTCGTGGAGAACGAGGAGTAGGCAGAGTCCCGCTTGCTGTGGAGGTGGTCCATGCTGTTGGAGGACCTGGATATGATGAGAGATTTATTTTGATATCATGGCATTGACACATGGAAAGCTGCGAAAGAGACACGTTGCATTTCCACCGCGGGATTTGGTGGCTTGAATCAAGGCGAGGCTAGCAGGTTTGTGCTAAGCTACACTTGGTACGGACCTGCCAGAGGACAGCTGGTGGCAAGAGGAGTAGGCGGGGTGGGGTCCGCTGTGCGTGTGGTTGCCCAGTGGGTGGTGATGTTGAGCTCCGGAGTGAAGCTGCGAGGACTGGGGGGGGTCCAGGCTCTCCATGCTGCCCCTGGAGCTGTACTGGTCCGGACTCTTCCTCAGGTAGTTGCCACCAGAATCAAACCCGCCGGACAGGTCGGTGGTCGAGGCACTGAGACAGAATGACATCTTTATCGGGGACACGAAGGCCAACATCAGCGTGCGAACAAGCTCAGAGTGGCAATGCTAACATGCAGATGTTAAGCGGGTAAAAACATCTGGATTTAAGGTGTTCGAATGCGAAGGGGAAGACACAGTCCTGCCCTCACAATCCAGAACATAAAGACATTGCAAACAGTTAGAAACTGCAGAAAATGGGTATTTTTGGAACGTGAGGGACGTCTTTGATAGAGGGGAAGATTTGAGGAAAGTTTGGATAACTTCTTTTTCTTTCTTTGGAATTTCTCATCACTTTATTAGAATGTTTGTCTAACTCATAACATGATGCAGTGCAAAAGCACAGACTGACACATTGAGTTTAGATTCTTTTTTGGATTCTATTTGCAGAAATGCCTTTTTGCTGTATATATACACGTCGTCATTTGTGCATATGGCAACGGAAGAAAAGTGTTGTCTGATAATTGTTGTGATTTAATTAATCGGCAGAAAATATGTGGTGACATTTAAGGAGAACTTCTAGCTGGCTCCCTCAAAGGGTTCCCTGGTTAATGGGCTAGTTTTACTTCCTTTGGGCTTAGAATATGATGAGTAAGCCATGGAAGTGTTTAATGTTTTACAAAAGGTAGAACAAGGTGGCAAGTAAATAAATAGTTAATAGTTATTTCAGAGTCAAACTATTCCAGAAATGTTACAGTCCGACCTTTTCAGATTTGTGACATTTACCAAAAAGGACTTAGGTGTATTCAGACACGTCACAACGGTTACGTAACCAGGTGCAAGTCTGAAAGGGCTTTTATCTCTTCTGCCCGTTGCTTGTAAATTCAGGGCTTTCCTCAGTCTAGATAACTGCCCGGAATGTACGATTTGTGCGCTCGAGTGTGTCTACGTCACAGTTTGACCTACCAACTCCTCCAACCGAACACAACGTGATTACCGCTCTGGAAACGGGGACACTCTGTCTGCATTCTTCTTTAACTCCTCTGAGTCTCTTTTCTGTCCCCAGTGGACTTTCTGCCTCCTGTGGCTTCATTTAAAGGCTGACAGCTCCCAAAAAAAGGCGGCGAACATATTTTGTTTGATCCTAACTTTACAGGGGGGGGGGGGTGTTGCCATGGGAGACCCAAAGATGAGGGGGGAAGGAAGTCAGGAATGCCCCCCCCCCTCCTCCCCTTCTACAGGCATCGACGTCAATGCCCCCTACATCAATGCCCCCTACGCCAATGCCCCCTACGTCAATGCCCCCTACATCAATGCCCCCTACGCCAATGCCCCCTACGCCAATGCCCCCTACACCAATGCCCCCTACGCCAATGCCCCCTACGCCAATGCCCCCTACGCCAATGCCCCCTACGCCAATGCCCCCTACGCCAATGCCTTTTATTTGCCTTCCACTGAAACCGTGATGTAACTTCCTGTGATGACATGAAGCGCTTTGCAGGATATACAACGAGCACAAGCATTAAACGTTAGTTACGTATTTTACCAGTTTGTGCCACAGCGATGACTCAGCACTTATTGGGTGATGTGTGAACTCTTATTACGATCGTGTCTGCAGGACCCTGATTAATCTGAGACAACACATCTGAATCCTACAGGTGTTTCTGAAAGACAATGTGGACAAAACTGTCCATAACACACACACACACAAGTACTCCCCCCACACACAGAACATTCTCTAAAAATGTCCTCACTTTGTAAAATTGTCCGCTCTTTAAAAACCTGTTCCCTCTCTTGAGAGATGCGCTCACTTTCCCAAAAACAAATGTGCCCACATTCCAAAGTGCTTTTAGTCTGAGGTCATAGTTGGTACAAACTGACACGGCAGGACCTCGTAATGAAAACACAGCACGCAGACGGTCAAAGGTCACGTCATGGAACAGACACATAGCAGCGTCACACATTAATCCCACTTCCTTCAACCAAACAAACTCCTGGTGCCACGAAGCGTTGTTAGAGCGTCAAACGCCGGGCATGTACAGAGTCCTGTGCTCAATCACGTGTCATTACATCAAACCTCAACTGTCCGTTAGTTCTTGAGGAAAGAAGAGAGAACACGTTTCACATCAGGAGGGAAAACTGCTTCCTCTTAGTTAGAGATGAGACTGACAACATGAACTTTGACCCTCTGCGTGACTGATATCAGCACACGATAAACCTCAAATTTAATATTCAAAACAGACAGACTACTACCATACAGAGCAGTATAATAAAATAGATCATTGGTTTTCCTATCTGGGTTTATTCCGTTTGTGACCACAGTGCTTTTGTCTTTATATCTACACAAGTTTCCACACAGAAGTCAAACTGTACATGAATCTAATTACTAATGTCCTTGGCTGGTGACATGGGACATGCAGCCAATCGCCTTTCGAGTTACAAAAGACCAAAATATGATGCTAACATGTCACCTTTCTTCACAGAAGTCCCACTGCCAGGAATACTAATTATGGAAAGGTTCACAGAAATACTCAAATAACACGTTAAGTAAAATGAACGTAACAAACAACAAACAAGAAATCTGCGGCAGGGGGGAGTGAGACAAGGTGCTGCACGTCTGTCCAAAGCCACACGTGTAGTAACAGTAAAGTATATGCAGATGACAAATATATATTATACCCTGTCCTTTTCTCACAGACTTCTATACAATGGCCCCCTGATGGCTGTTATAGGGAGTAACCTCTACGTTGGCTTCGAAACAAGAGCTTTGTTGTGTCCTTTAGTCCAAAAAGCCTTTTCGACATCATTTGATGAACACCTGCAGGCTTTGCGGTCACATTGCCTCACCTATGATGGTGGATATTCATCAGAGCTGTTTTTGACCACTGACCTGGCGTGGTAGCTGTGGTGCCAGGAGCTGCTCATGGTGTCCATCCCTCCCTGATCCGGCGGCTGCTGACCTTCACCGAGCTTCGTCGAATGCCACGAGTGAGGACGGGACGCCGGCTCACTGCGTCTGCGGGTTGAGACACACAGACGGAGTCATTTCAATGCGACAATGCCTTCTGCAACAAACAACTACTTTCCAAAGGTTACGAGGTTACAAGATGAACCTTCTCGTTCCAATCACGCCCAGGCAGGCAGCAGAGATTCCATTAAGGTCTAATTGTCTTGCACAAATTTTACAATCAAGTGTTATTTGGTGAGCTGCACTGAGATGCCTGGTCAGGACCCCTTGGCAACACTTTTCAAAGCGCCGGGTACCTCTCTTATACGTGGTCGTAATACGTGGGCAGGGTTGTGTACCAAACCACTCTGTTGGGTTCAGCAGGAGATTGTGGTTTGGGTTCAAATACGTTTGTATCCTCCGCTGAGTTCCGTTGGCAGGTCAAGTATTTTACGTAAGTTAACTTCAAAGCAACAAAGGACGCAAACGTCTACTGGGTGAAAGCCGTCCATGCAGACTTTATCTTCTGCTGTGTCACCTGACTTCCTCCTCAGCTACTGCGGCCACCAGAGGACGCCGTGCACATGCAAAACTGAGGCTCGATTACTACGTGGAGCCCCAAAGATTGACTCAAAGAACCTCTGGATTATTTGACGCGTTGGGATTGAGAACAGGTCTTGTTTGCGCATGCTAATCAATGTTAAAAGTAATGCCTGCTGAGGTGCATTTCCACAGATAAATCTTGAGCGTAAAGAACTGACCATGTGACCGAGGATATTTGAAGCTGTGATTAGTTGTGAATTGATCATCAACTATCTGTGTGGTGATTGAACAAAGTTTGAATGATGGATCAGGTTTCAGACACTGTAGATGTCCAGCTTGTCTGTCCTCCGCTGTATATTTCCAATTGTTTCATACTTGAACCACAACAGAATAATGTATCAACAGGCACTTGAACTGACACCATTGAGTGAATTCATAAATTCTTACTTTCAGCAAGAATCCTAATAGATGGTACTTCTTCTTTTTAAATGTCAGTCAGAAAACTTTCTGAGCAGCAGTCTCAACAACAGAGCAGAACCGCGTCCTCCCACGGTAACACAACACACACACACACACACACACACACACACGTGCACAGCGCTGCATGATCTCAGTCCACAGAGATCAGGCGTCTTCCTATCTCTGCCTCTCCCTTCCCTTCCTCTTGAAAACATGTTCAAATGCTTTCAACTTCAGGCCGCCAGAAGAAGCAACTGATGCTACTTTGCTTCCACACACATGCTACATCGGGTCTTTTATTAGCTATTTTTATATGTATTTGTATTGTTTGATTCCACTTGAAGCAAATAAATTCAAACTGATTGTTAGCTTCAGATTAGCTGTAGAAAGACAGGAGTGAGCAGAGGGGTATTCAGTTATTTGCAATCTGACATGGAAAGGCCTCCCAAAAAATGAGCTTGTGCCTTGGTTATGAATTAATTGCATTATAATATTTAAACTCAATAAAAATAATATTTTTATTCCTAAAATAGGTATGACTTTATTTTTCCATTGACCAATTGTATTACATTTTGTAAACATATTTTAGTAAGTTGACTTAAAATATTGAAATTAAAGTTGGGAACAGGGCAAAAAGTTATATTTCCACAAGAAACCAATTTTTCTGTGTTGCGCGTTGTCTTTCTGATGCTGCGTCTCCCCCCCGTTGGCCCACCGTGACCCCCAGTTTGGGAACCGCTGACTTTTCCAGTTCTTCCAGTAAGTGAAAAGCCATAAGGAGGACTGGATGATGTGTGATGGTTTTGACATCACCGTGTTCAGATGTGTTATCTATCCGGCTGTGATAAGAGGCTTCGGTCCCGTCCCTCGTCGTGCTGTTTAGCTGCTCTGTGGTTATCCACGCAGATAAACAGGAAACGATTGTATCTGAGTAAGTAGGAGACAGAGCCATGAAAGCCTCTGTGAAGCCCAGGAACCCCGGTAATGACGGGACGTGACTGGAATTCCACAGCGCGTTATCGCCCCCGTTACACGTGCTCAGATATTCACCCTCAGCCATCAGCTCTCGCAGGGCGGCCTCAGGACAGAATGGAATGAGTCCGTTTGTGACCCCTGGAGCACAGGAAGTCGCCCTGGCTCACTCCAAGACAAGCCAAATGAAGATCTTTAGGAGAGCCGACAGGTATCAGACCTGCTGCAGATGAACAATACTGATGACGAACTAGACTCCCGCACGCTGTTCACCTTAATTCACATCCATCAGGAATCAGGAAACATTTACTGCCATAACATGTCAGACATACGAGGAATTTGGCGGTTGGTGCGTAACAGCAGACAGTACGACAATGGACGACCGTACGGCACATGCCGAATGTCTACGGCATGTGTATATATTTATATGTTTCGCTCTTGTGTGGGTATATATTTCTTTTTTACGTTTGACTTTTTTCTCTCTTTTGATACTGTAGCTGTGTGGAAGGAGGCCAAAGCAAACACGGACAATTACGCTTCATGCAGAACAAATCCTTAAAAACTCTTTTTTCCTCATTCATGATGAAAACCCTTTACGCATCAGGGTCGGGACAATAAACGGATGAAATGCTGGAGTCCGACGTGAGGTCTAGGTGGACATTGGCTGGGCCACATGCAGAGCTGCAGTCAGACAGGGCAAATTGTAAATGCTGTGTAGTTCCTGATTTGTGGCCACAATCGAGTCTCTGGAAGTATTGAGATTAAATTACTCCAGCAAAAACATTCACTTCGTCAACACTGACAATGTTTTGCCTTTTAGGGAAAAAAAAACAGTACAAATTTTGTTCCAGTCAAACGCCTCAAATATTCCAGTCCGGACATCAAACATCAGGTTCTGAACAGTCGTACCAACCAACACATGCCGTGTTTCTGAGTGAGGAAGGTGACTTGTGGCCGTTTTACCTGCTGGTAAACCTGAGGACTCTGGAGATGAGGCCGGTCGCCAGCCCGTTGACGCTGGCTTCCGATGGCGACCGACACAGAGCCCCTTCCGAGCGGCCCAGCTCGGCCTTCTTCTGCTTCTTCCGCAGCTTCCTGCGGTAGAACGCCTCCAGCAGCTCCATGGCTCCAGACATTACTCTGTTTCCTGATCTGCTGTCTTAGCTGGACTGCTCTTAATCAATTGTTTCTTCTTCTCTTAGAAAATCCAACAAAGTTCCATTTCCACACCGTTTACTTGCCGTTAGTTTGGCATCTCCTTGCAGAACGCTACACAACTGTTACCGACCTGCTCTCCTGTGCACAAGAGCACGTCCAGAAGCACTTGTCCTCTAGTTAAATCGATTGGGCCGTTGGTGGCCTTGGGTCTTACAGAGTCATTTCTGCTGTGCTTGTTCTCTATTTGACCTTTAACCTGGGACCTTCCCTTGCTCTCCTGTCTTCTCTACTCTAACACAAATTAAAACCTCCTTTCTTCATCAGAAGCTGCGTTCCACTCTGTGCTGCGTCTCCTTCCAGAATGTCCTCATCCAGATCCACGCAAACCATCCTCTTCCTTGCTGCGTTGATCTGCACCGAAAAGACTCGCCCCTCCTCGACCGCACGCCGATCCGTCCCTCTGGCAGTTCCAGTCTCGGGCTGATAGGTCGGAAAGACGTCCCTTGCATCGGTCCCCGTCCCCAAGCTCATTAAGCAAACAAAGCAATTAAACATCATTAGGCTGTATGATAAACGCATCGAGTAAACATCCTTCTCCCTACTTGGTCCGGCTCGTAGCTGCTGATGGGCTGTGTGGACGAGAGAGCATCAAGAAGAAGAAGAGAGAGAGACGGGGTGGGACGAGAGAAGAGAGGGAGGTAAGGTAGGAAATAGCTGAGGCGAAGGAGTAGCATGATGGAGGGAGATAAAGACTGATGGAGCGATGGAAGGAAAGGAGGAGATGCTGGGACAGATAAAGGGGGAGGATGAAAAGGGGAGAGGGGTGAGGGAGTTGAAACTACGCGGGATTCTTTCCTGGAGCAGATAGTGATTTAGAAATGAAAGAAGGGAATCCAGCTAGATGGAGGAAGGAGGACTGGAACAGTGAGGAGGAGGCGGTTGGATGAGTAGAGGATGGAGGACACATGGAAACAGTGGGTGATTGAGGCGAGCTTGAAGCCGCGGGGAGAAGGACGTCCCGTGGTGCAGCGTGTGATTCCACAGCCAACAGTGAATCGACTGTTACTCACTTTTACATTATCAATGCTGCGGCCCGGCATCCAAAAACACTGGCAGACATGCACATTCATCTATTTCTTAGAACATGAATAATCCCACAGTTTGGTCGTCCACTATGGAGCCAAATCCAGGTCAAACGTTTTGATCATTTGAAAAACAAATGTCTGAGTCAAAACCATATTCAACCCAAGTGAAGTAAAAGCGAAAAGGAGACAACATTTTCCTCCTCATTGGTACTTCTACAGGTGCCCATTATTCACGACACGCCAGCTGGATTCCTGGGAGTCACGGGAATGTCCTGATGTATCCGAGATCCCAGGAGGAGGCGTGATGTGACATCTTCCCCTTTGTCGCGTTGGGATCGGGTGTCGGGACCACGCCGCCCCCGAGGCGCTCCAATGGAAGGCTGCAGCCCCAGTTTGAAAGCAAAACGAGTCCTTTCCCACAAGCTGCCCAAACCAAAGCAAATTCTATGCTAATGCTATGCTAATGAGAACTAGGATATAAAAAAGGTGCAAAAAGCCAGGATTAGATTTACTGTACAGTGAAGTAAAAGGCTAGTTAACAAAAATAACGTTACCAAGTTACACCCAGCTAAGTCAACGCTAAAGAAGAGCGGCTTAAATCAAACTTTATCATTACTACCAAAATTGTGTGTGCTTGCAGGCAAAAGGGAACTTTTTTTCTGTGTCACGGGTTAGTTTGCTGTCGAACAACCGTGGACGTGAGCAGTGACTACGTGGAGCATCTCACAGGTTGGATGGTAACCAGCGTGACGTACAGCTCATGAACAATGAATGCCGCCACTAAAAGGTGCACCGCGTCTCCTAAACGTTAACGTTACTCTGACACAGTCTGGCTCAAACTGTCTTCACTTCCCTGTGTGTGTGTGTGTGTGTGTGTGTGTGTGTGTGTTCAGGGTGTGTCTCTCTGAACACACACCTTATCTGTTGCCGTGGGAAACTGTTCCTCCGGCTCAGAATAATCATCTCTTAAATCTGCACAGAAAGCAAAGGGGATACCGGAGCTCCGTGTTTGTGAGTAAATGTTGCTCTGCATGTTTGGTGTGTGTCAAATTTGTATTTGAGAAATATGTCAAAAGTGTGTTTATAGTTTTTCATAATGTTTATTTTTTAATGTTTGAACTGTGAAGCACAGCGTAGTGCAACACACATTGGACACCTCTGTAATGGTCACAGCTAGTGTGTTAATGCAGGATTAACACTAGACTGCACCTTTTCCCTACAAGCTGTGTGTGTGTGTGTGTGTGTGTGTGTGTGTGTGTGTGTGTGTGTGTGTGTCAGGGAGTTTGTTTGATTTGCACGTGTGTGTGTTTCTTGTAATTACGTGATGATGTCGTCCCAGAAAAATGCGATGACCCAACAAAAGAAACATCCGAGGAGGAAAGAGGAGAGGAGACGGAAAGCGGGGAAGTTGAACAAAGGAGACAAGGGGACAGAAGGGAAGCAGGAGGGGACGTAGGAGGGAGGAAGGAAGGAGGGAAGAGGAGTGTTTATAAATCCGTCTCATAATAACCAGCAGCCTCATGGGGCTGTGATGGCCCGCTTCCTGTTTCTGGACCAATCAGAGACAAGCTCCTGCTCCTCAGACGCATCCGATAACCGCCCTCAGCCACGGGGAATTGTGGAGAGAATAGAGACCGACGGTGGCCAACGCTCTGGTGGGCTCTGTGCTGTTGTTTCAAATCACCTCCGCCTTACGTGGTGGTGCTCAAAGCCACTTCAGCAAGTAAAAGACACAGGAAAATTCCACTGGCGCAAACGTCTGCAGTCACGCTAGCCCCCCCTGGAGGCTGGGATGTTCATCACACACACAGTACTTCAAGGGTCCGACCTCCTTATTAGGATGGAACTGTTGATAGCAGGGTCAGTATTTATAGACTGTTTAGTTCTGTCAGAGGACCGAGCTGGACCACACAGCCCAGAGAGAGAGAGAGGGAGGATTGAACCAGGAAGCTACTATAGATTAGATGTACAGGCCTAATTCACACACACACACACATGAAAACCCAGTAATTCACACGTGCCACTGTAACATTAAACATCCAAATGAATTGGACATGAGTGTGATGTATTAAAGTCTAATGAAGAGCTCGGCTGAGCCTCATGACGCCCTACAGGGGGGGGTTACCATAGCAACCCCCCTGTCTGCTTACAGTGTTTCCCTGCTGATCATAGTCAGACACACGTGTTGGCACTCACACGCCGAGGAAGCCCACACGGGACATCCCTCACACCAGGGGGCGCTTCAGCTCGCTGCAGGACACTCATTGGACTTTACTTGTTGTTTGAAGACGCAAAGCCTTCCAGCGGCGATACACACATGCTGATCATTTATTGATACTGGGCCTGTTGTCGGACAGAAAGTCCCAGTCAGGGACACCGTGGCCCATTGCGTCGCTGCCCCGCATGCACGATTACCTCTTCATGTCCCTCTTTTTTTAAACGTCCACGATTGTCAGCGAGACGCCCGCCGCCGAATTGCTGGACGGGAGCATTCGAGATCCTGGGCAACAAACCAAAGGGTGACGTCTGGGTGACTACGTCCCCTTCTTATCTATGAAGTCTATTTCTACAGATTCATGGGCTGGCTTGAAATGATGTCTCCTGCTAACTTTCTAAAAGGAACAATATGCAGGGTATATATATATATATATTCATTGATATACTGTTTGAATAAGATGTCCTTATGTTAAACTGTTGGAATAAATGTTAAATATTCAACCGCAAAGTAATGATGCGTGTTTGATACCTTTTTTGCATTGAATTATACGGGGATGTTAAGTGAAACGGATTGGCTGACCCTACCAAAGAAGAATCCACCACCTACGGAGGAATGAAAAGCTTTGCTGTGCTTAGTTACAGTTGCAGGAACTGACTGGGCAACCGTTGGTTGGGGGACGGGTCGTTGGAGGCTCTCCTACCGGTTCTTGATGCGTAGTTGGACTCCTCCACCTGAACATGGTCTGCTGTGGTGGGATGACGGCGTTTGTCGTTTTTGTTGCGGCGGTGGTGGTGGTGTTAGAGATGGAGGAGGAGGATAAGACGAAGGAGCAGGAGGCCGGGCAGCGAGGGAGGAGTGTGAATAATCAAACTCCTTCATGTATCCTGGATCAAACTCCCTGAAAGGAGACACAGAAAATGATGGTGAGAAATCTCTCCTCCTCCTGCACGATGTTCCGTTAATATACACTGAATAATGAGTTTGTAATGAATTTAGTGAATAGCTTCCGTATGCTACAGAATAATTGAGATGCTCTCAGAATACGTTTCCTTCTCTAACTTTTATTCAGATTGTCTTCCTTGCGAGCAGGTCGGCTGATGAATAAGCATCACACCTACAGATTGTCCACGTAGCTGCCAAACCAGGCGGGCTGTGGTCAGGTCCGACCAGTTCAAACATGAATGTATGCTTATTTATCCTATGAAAGGATGTTCATACTAGCGGAGGTGCAGCAGTTATTGTGTTGGCAGCGAGCAGCCACACCCAGAACACGCCGCATGTAGACTGATGCACGCGATGGTGGACCAAAGCTAATTCCTCCTACACGCTTTTAGCTGTTGGGTCCAACATGCTAACTAAGAATGCAATGATTCATGAAGCTGGCCCAAACCGGTGAAGGCGATGCGTTTGAATTGATATTAATATTGGGTTAGAAGGGAGTGAATTCAAAGTTTCAATTGAAACTTCATAATGATTCATTATTCCTCCTCCTCTTTAGTGGAACCAGCTTCCACTTTCAGTCCGGGGGGCACATTCGGTCAGCTCTTTCAAGGTAAAGCTTAAAACTTTCCTCTTTGATTGTGCTTATGGACACCTGCCGTGGACATCTGATGGTGGTTCTATCTGATGGTGTTTCTATCTGATGGTGGTTCTATGTGATGGTGGTTCTATCTGATAGTGGTTCTATCTGATGGTGGTTCTATGTGATGGTGGTTCTATCTGATGGTGGTTCTATCTGATGGTGTTTCTATCTAATGGTGGTTCTATCTGATGGTGGTCCTATGTGATGGTGGTCCTATGTGATGGTGGTTCTATGTGATGGTGGTTCTATGTGATGGTGGTTCTATGTGACGGTGGTTCTACCTGATGGTGGTTCTATGTGATGGTGGTTCTACCTGATGGTGGTTCTATGTGATGGTGGTTCTACCTGATGGTGGTTCTATCTGATGGTGGTTCTATGTGATGGTGGTTCTACCTGATGGTGGTTCTATGTGATGGTGGTTCTATCTGATGGTGGTTCTATCTGATGGTGGTTCTATCTGATGGTGGTTCTATGTGATGGTGGTTCTATGTGATGGTGGTGGTCGCTGATGGCGTCCTGCTGTGCGTCTGGTTTACTACTCACAGTTACTTGAATCATTCTCTCTGATATACTGATGTATTATACATTGTTCATTCTGTCCTCATGACGTCATCGTAGTCTGTCCATCAGGAGACGGATCCTCCTCTGACGTTCTCACTAAGGTTTCTTCCCTTTTTTCCCTCTTGGAAGGGTTTTTTCATTGTTTGGGGAGTTGTTCCTGTGCCGATGGAGGGTTTCGGGACAGAGGATGTTGTATGTGTACAGACTGTAAAGCCCTCTGAGGATAATTTGTGATTTTGGGTTCTACAAAATAAAATTAATTGAATTGAATTCATTATTAACATCCAAATCATGACTCCCCTGATGCTAACAGTCATCCAGCGTTGATGACGGGTTGTCGTGGTGCAGGGGTTGAGAGGGTGCACGGGAACCGCAAGGTTGGTAGTTCGAGTCCCGGCTCGTCCATGTCCCATGTTGAAGTGTCCCTGAGCGAGACACCTGACCCCTAATTGCTCCCCGGGAGCAAAGTGTAGAAAGCTGAGGGTTAAAAATGTAACGTAAGTCGCTTTGGATAAAGGCGTCAGCTAAATGACCTGTAATGTAACGCAGCCGGTTAATGTTTGAAGGTTAAAATACTATTAATTAAGGCTCCAAACTGGGCACACATTTTCGTTTGT